GTAGTGCTTATTTTGTCAGTTTCCAGCTCTGCTCACACCATACATCAATCAGAGACTGCATTACTAGATTTATTGAGTAAACTATGATTATCTACCTTTCTACAGCATCATATGCCATCGTTAACAAGTCACAATAAATGGGTTCACACAACATATTAAGCCACAAAAAAGCAACTACATTTTGCCAACTGAGAACCCACTTTATCTTAAAAGGCTCCCTTGAATGCTCAAATGAAGGACAAGATATAACTGCTATGCATTAAATGTGATTCTTCAAATAGGATGCAAGAATAATTAAACATATTAAATATATTTATAAATATTTTATAACTTCATAAATAACATAGTAAATTTATAATTTATATGCATTAATTTATAATAAATTTATAAAGAAATAAATGTTAACTAAATATACGACTTAATATTTGCAGTGCGTAAATAACTCCTCAAGGGCAGAAAATTATGATTTGCAAAAAGTTATATATAACACTTCCAAGACTAAAGGCAAATTATTCAAGCCATCAAATGGTTTAAGTGAGGGATGGCAAACTTCTTAACATCTCAAAGTTATGCTTCAATACAAAAATGTAAAGATTCTCTTAGTTCATGTTCAACTTCGTCAAATATGTCTACATAATTTTTATGGCAAAAAATAGAATTGATTTGTCATTGTCACTTCTGGAAAGGCTTTTTTCAACTTTAACCTTTACATTTAAAGATGGTCTCTTATGCTAGCACTTATTGAGTCCAGCCTTTTCAAGATATAAGGTGTATAAATGTGAGGTAAAGGTAAAATATCTAATTGTGATTTTGTGGGCATAACTATATATTTTTATTGGTAGCAAGTAATTTTTTATCGTGTTCTTTCAATTCTGTTTAATTTGTTAAAATTAATAAAGGTCAGTTAAGTGCCATCTAAATATGCCACCTATTCAGTCATATTTTTGTTCACAACAATGTACCCACTGATCACAAACAGGTGTAAACTATCCATGTATATCTCACAAGATTTTTAGATATATTAAGAATTTCCTGATATTTCTGAAGGTCTTTTTTGGAAATCAACCCTGAACATCCTCCTCCTACAATTTCATTTGCTCGATTCCTGTACTAAATTCAGAAATCCATAAATAAAGAGTAGCTGAATTTAAGAGGTGGAAGTGGCTTAATCTTCCTGTTAATTTTAGGATATGCATATTTTTTAAAAAAAATCTCAATATTTTAAAAACCTTATTCATATTAGACGAGCAGCTCATTGTGGTCTAAACAAATTATAAATATGTTTTTATAATGCTTTTAAATTCTGCATTCAAAGATCAAGCCAAAATATGTATTCTTGACAATGTCCTTCCAATTTACAGCCAATTTTATTGCTGAAAAGATGGATATGGAATATTTATGGGAAAAAAGGTAAAAATAATGGTTTTGACCCTGAAGTTTAGTGCTTACTGTTTCATTCTTTGAGACATTCTCATGTAAAAACTGCATTCCTTCTTTTTTTCACACATGTCGAATTTCATGCAGATAGTATTCAACTTACAACCATTTGTTCAGCAACAATTCAAAGTTACAATAATGAAACAAGTGACTTAGAATCAGTCCTCGCACTTGCATCCATCGTAGGATCCCCACAGCCATGTGATCTAAATTTGGTTTCTTGGCAACAGCATGAATTTTTACTGGTTGCAATGTCCTAGGGTCATGTGATTGCCATTTGTGACCTTCCAACAAGTCAATGGTGAAATCCAGATTCGTTTAAGACAGGTCACCATGATATTCCAGGATGTTAGTTAGAGAGGGGAGTTAAAAAGCCTCCTGAAGAAATAAATATAAAACTACTTCCATTATTTGCTAATAAAACTGTAAAAGTGAGATCATAAAGTCCCTGGGAGTCAAACTCAATTTGAAGACATCTATATGTAGATAAATCCTTGCCGTCTTGTAAAGTAATAACTTACAGTTCTTCCAGAGATAGTCATGTATTTCTTTGATTCTACCCATTCAGCTTAAAGGTTGTCTTCCCTTTTGTATTTCCGTCATTTCATATTCATCTCAATTTATCTTTCCAACAGTATCACTCCAGCATATTAATGAACAACCCTCAAATTCTCAGGAGTCGTGTGCTAATATATTATATCTACAGTATTAATGAAACATTTCTTTCCATTTTTACTTCTCTGTTTGAATTCATTCAACCAGAGGAGTCAAATGCAGCCTAAACCTTTCAATAGAAACAGTATTACCTAAATTTGAATCTTTCTCATTATAGTAATCGTATTTCTGGCACTCTGAAGTTTGTTTTCTCTTTACTCTTAAAATACATGAGTCTCATCAACAAATCTTGATAAGCACTGAATGAAGGCGCCCCATTAATCATCCTTAAAGAAATAACTTTGTAATACCATCTTTGTCTCCTCCCCAGCCCACTATGGAGAAGACTCTCTTTAGTTACACTCCAGTGTTAAAGTTCATATTTTCTCTTTGTCAACAAGACAACAGTGACAAGCAGGTTAAAGTGAGTGAGACCGGAGACTTGTTTCCAGTTCCTAAAGATTATTTTTTAAGAGACAGCCTACTGTTGGCAGTACTAAAGTCTGGTTCTTTCAAGATTCTTCTCCATATCAAGGATTAGTGCTCTCTACTTCCACCAAGCTAGCATTTATGATGTTACTTAGTTAGATAATGAAAGATCTGCAAGAAAACAACCAAGCTCAGAGAGCACCAAAGATCCCATACCTCACTTTTTTTGCTACCTCTCCAGGTTCTGGCAGTTTGGGAAATTGCTGTGTATCTCAGCTGACCTCAAGGCTAGCAGGAAGGCTGGGCAAGGAATGGGGAGGAAATCAAGGGGAGGAGATTTTTTTGCTTTTAGTTTTTGGATTGTTCAGAGCAAAGTCCTGGCACATAAAAAGTTATATCTCCTTGGTTGGCATGTCTTGCCAGCTGAAAAAGGAGCCGATAGGCATCACTGTGGAAGTGAAATGACATGAGAGAGGTTCTGTTTGCCACATCATCTTGCAGAACCTGTGAGATGTTTGGGAGCCCATTTAACATTTCTTCAGAAAAGCTCTAACCCAGGGCTGTCAAACTCGCAGCCCGCAGGCCGGATGTGTCATGCACTGGCCACATCCATGCCTGGTTTAGCAAAGGGGAAAAGAGTTGCGATATATCACGTGACACTGCGAGTTTGACACCTCTGCTCTAAACCATTGGTTTTCAAGCTTTTTTTTCACCACGGACGCCCTTTAAATACCTTTTGTGACCTCGGACCATGGCCACAGACCATCTTTACCTCAAGATTTAAATCATAACATTTCTTCAAGCCTTCACAGACCCCCGTGATGACATTGTGGCCCTCCAACGGTCCATGGACCCACAGGCTGAGAACCTAAACAAATGTTTAAATAGTTGTCAAACCAGTTGACACTAGGAAGTGGTTGCAAGGTGAAGTGGGAGGATTCACTTCACCTTATGTTCTTGAGAATGTTTCTAAAACTACACAGGACTTGAATTTGTAAATTACTTATGAATGCTGTAAAGTGTATAGATCGGAGGTGCTTGGCAGTGACCAACACCGTTTACATTCCTTGTTCCTAGAGCAGTTTTTTTAAGTGCAGACAGTGATTATGCTAATGGAAGAGTTGATTACAGTTCAAGTGAGTCAGCATGAAGAGCAGGCATGTTTTAACACAAAAGGGCTTTACTGAAAATCAAAACAAACATGGAAAAATAAAGAAGCCAAGATCTTCCCCTCACCCCAACCAGGATTTACTGGGTGAAAAAACACAATTGCTTTGCATGCATTTACTTATATTAGAGGTGAAAGCAATTAGCTTTTCAATAAAAGCTCCTTTTCTCCAGCTGTGCTCCATTTTAATGAGGGCAGCAGTGAGAAAGAGGCTGTAGGTGCAGAAAGTAAGTACAGACTTCAAATTGTTGATCATATGGATTTTAGATTTAGCCAAGAATAGTAGGAGTTGTGTTCTATTTTTTACTGTTCATTTAAATTTATTGGGGAATTCAGACAATGTAGTAACGCTAGCCTTTTACAACTGTTCACTTAGTCATATGAAGTTTTGAAAGAATGTACAATGTAAAGCTCCTGAAGTTTTGAATAGAGTCTAAACCAGTGGTCACCAACTGGTGGTCTGTGGACCACTGATGGTCCACAAGAAAATTTTGGTGGTCCGTAGAAAAATTATTTGTACTTTTTATATTGCACTAAATCAGGGATCCTCAAACTACAGTGCCTGGGCCAGATATGTGCAATGAATGTTTGTGTTGCTGCAGAGAGCCTCCTCCCTCAGGGTCTTTTTGTGAGAGTCGAAGGGGGGAAGAAATTCCGACTTGGGGTCTGCTTCAGCCTCCTGGTGCAGGGCTTTGGGTGAAGGCTGGAGGGAAGTGCTGCTGGTGGCGAAGAGCAGGAGGGCTTTGTTCCAGTAGGATTGCATCATGGCCTGAAACTGGCTGACCACCTCAGCCTGCTGAGCCTCCAGACACCGGTACCTGGTCTTGAACTCCCACAGGTCTTCCCTCTGCTTGGAAAGCCTATGCTCGTAGTCCTCAGTGAGGTGCTTCTGCTGAGCCTCCTTCTTGGTCAGATCCAATTTGAACTGAGCCAGCTGTTTTGCCAACTCTTTCCCATGGTGGCTGCTTAGCTCCAACAACTGCTTCCTCGGGTAGGCAAGTGATGAATGGCTGGGAGGGAGGGGCAAGTAGAGCCGATAGATGCCCCTTGAAGTGAGTGACATTGAGTTGGCCACGCCCATCCAGTCACATGACTACCTAGCCATGCCCACCTAGCCAGTCATTAGGCAGATCATATTAGTGTCCGCGGGATTTAAAATTATGAATTTAGTGGTCCCTGAGGTCCAAAAGGTTGGTGACCCCTGGTCTAAACCATACTGCATCAGAAAAAGAGAATAAACAGAGATTGTTTAACTCTGAGACTAATTTCTAGATTAATTATTATGCAGTTCATCCAAAAAATCATGAAGGTCTGCCATCAACACACAATATCTTTTATTGGTTGTTTTTTTTTAGCTCCCCACCAGAGAATAGTAGGTGTATAATTTCTGTATTAGAGAATCAATAATTATAAGAATAATTTCTGAAAATATGAGATACTTTTCTAATACCATAGTAATTTTAACAGTTGTCCTTTTAATCCTAATTCTCCAGACAAAAATATTGATACAAAACTGAATATATTAATAAAATAAATGATGTGTAACAATGATAGGGGGCAGATATCCTATCAAGAATTCCATTTCCACTTGTACTTTCTTCTTCATGATACTAACCAAAATAACAACTAGTATTAAAGCATTCTTAATTACTCTTGAAATTTATGTTGGAAATGTGAAAAACAACAAGGAACATTTTATTATGTTTGGTGGCTATGTAAAAAGGCTAGAAAATTCTGGATTCAAATGCATACACTGTTTCAGAGGATTTTAAAGATTAATATGCAATTGAAGACTTATTGACATTCAGCCCAGATGTTTTGCTTCATTGCATGACACACATGACTTGCCATTAATTAATTGTTTAATTATGTTTAGCATAATGTTAACTTCTGCTCTTTTTTAAATCTAAAATATAGCAAAATATTCCTCTTTTTCCCCTCTTTGATGTTGCGGAAAACAGCTGTGTCGGTTCCATGTGACTGCAAGCAATTAGGAACATATCAAAACACATCAGTTAATGTCAAGAAAAAACTTAAACCTGGAAGAGTCCATTCCCTGTTACATTCATATCCAAACTGCCCTGCATTCCATTTGGGGAATAGCACAAATTAGCTTTTGTACCTATTCTGAAAATTTCATCTTAAATGCAAAGGATTATAGCTAAGTATTGAATAGAGAAAGGCATATTAAAGGTATATTATTAATATCATTTATTTTGTTGTAGTTTCTATTTATGATTAGCAGTAAAGAAGTAAGATAAATTTGCCAACATGAGGATGAATACTGCTAGATGGCAGCAAAGAGCTACAGAAACGAGCCCTTCGTGCGTGGCTCTTTGGCTTTTTGCAGTTCACATATGGTAGCCTTAACAAAATTGCTCTAAAATAATTATTTCTTTCCACTTACAAATCTATATGCTCTGATAATGTTAACATTCCATTTGTTCAAGAATCTATAAAGAAAAGACAAGTAAGTTTTTCAATATAAAGGGAAATACAACATTCTATCTATCCCAATCTTGCCAATTTCCAGATGTGTGGACTCAGAATTCCTCAGTCAACAAAGCCATTGCTGATATTCTGGGAACTGAGGCTCACACAACTGGAAGTTGCCCAGTTGTCAAATCTTGCACTATTTTGTTCTCTGAGTTTGGCTCCTCTTTTTAAAAGTGGGATGGTAAGTTAATCAAAACAGAATAATACTATTACAAATCAGAAATAGTCAGTTGTCAGGTTCCAAACAGAAGGAAATAAAAGGAGACAAACCTGAATGGCTACTACCTTAGTTTAATCACTTTTTGGCACTCACTGACAATCGCAGATTAAAATCCTGTTAGGGCTACTGCCCTGTGCTTCCCACCATTAGTTATCACCACCCACCCAATCAGGCGCACTCCCTCCCATGTGACCCGGAAGTTGGCTTATGTTTAATTCTTGAGTATTTACAACCAGCATCTAAACAGTTACTTCACTTGAGCATTTACAACCAGTATCTAAATAGTTAATTCACTTGAGTATTTACAACCAGCATCTAAACAGTTAATCCACTTGTTATTTCCGGCTGGCCATGATGATGTCATCCCCCCCGGGTTTGAGTTCCTGAACAGAAAAAGGGGCGAGATACAGCGAGTCCCCGGGGTTTTATGCTCTCTCTGGCTTTGAACTTCCTGGGGCCCCGAAAGAGTATCCTGATTGGTTGTCAGACTCCCAGGGGGTGGGGGTCTTAGCTAGCCTTGCTGGCTGATTTAATCTTCCCAGGTGCCATGTGGTGAGTTTCTGTTGCTATTGTGTTGCAGATGGGTCCTATTGTCAAAGATTGAGTTTCTGCCTCTGGCCCATTAACAAAGGGGGGAAGGCAGGAAGGTGGGAGTTGCTTTGTCTTTAAAACATGTTTCTCCATTTCTCAACCAGGGAAACATAATTATCTGCCTTTTTTAATATTTCCTAAAATATTTCATTCTTCTAGGAAAGGGGTGGGTGCTAACTTCCTACAACCTTGACAAGCAAAGTCAATGAGGAAGCCAGATTCACTTAACAACCAAATTGCTAACTTATCAACTGCAATGATTCACTTAACAACTGTGGCAAGAAAAGCCGTAAAATGGAGCAAAAGTTACTTAACAAATTTTTCAGAAATTTTGCGCTCAGTTGTGGCTGAGGACTACCTGTATAGCTGTGATTATAGAAATTGTAATCCTAAACATCTGGAAATTATGTTGGGGAAACTGACAAGCAGCTGCCATGCAGACTATTTCAACTCACTGGTTTATTAGTGCTGTCTAGTTTTAGCAAAAAGATAGTTACACTTTACAGAAACCTGAATAAATCTCATTACGGAGTTATTATGGTGTATAAATCTCATCTTGTTTTAAAGAGCTGCCCTTTGACCAGAATGCTAGTGAAGATAGACAGTTATTCATAATTTCAAAACCTCATTTTGGGTTGCAAAGATTGAAAGGAAATGAGATTATTATATTACTTATTTTGCCCAAGATATAGGGCATTTAATAAACTTGAGATTTTGCTACTGCCTTTGCTTACTTAGAAATCACTATCTATTAGAATGAATGTGTCTGTACATGTGATCAGGCGATTTTGAATATTACTTTCAGTTTGCAAGTAGAATCAAACATTCCCCTTATATCTTTTTACAAAGTGTATAGCAATAATTTATATTTAATTACTGAAAAGGGACAAAACTCTGCCACTGCAAAAAAACCCTCACTTTCTAGTCTCCACCAGCTGACATTCTTTGGTTAATGAGATCTTCAGTATGCCCATTCTGTTTGACCTAGTGGGACAGCTAGAGACTCTTTGAAAAATGGTGATCCTTCAGTCATCCTGGTCCCAAGCCATGTAGGCTTTATTGATAACCACCAGCACCTTCAATTGCACCCAGAATTACACCTGGAAACGCAGTGGTAACTAGTACATGTCACACTGGAGTGGTGTTACATGTGCCATTTATCTGGCATTATTTATCTGACACCAAGTTTACATGGGTATAGGGAACAAGACTTTTGTCTTTTGTTTTTGTGCCACAATAAATCTATAGCATGGCCTTTATTAATAGTTTTGTGTTTCCTGTCCCATCTTTTTGGCAGTTGTGAACAGAAGGTGTCCAGCAGCAGCTCTAGGTTTCAAATTGCTTGCTCCAAATTTAGATGGCAAGTTATGTTCAACAGCACAACTTATTTTTTAATACGTGTCGTCCTGTTAGAGAAATCTTATTTGACGGATTAGACATACATTTGTACATGTCCTCAAAGTGCCTGGTGCTTGACAGATCAGATCCCAGCCTCCTATTAATTTACAATTCCACCGAAAGAGATCATTAGAAGGGGAGGAGAGGCTGGCATTAAGCAGGAATAGCATATCTTTCTTCCAACTGCATCTGTTTAGGCCAAGTTCCAGGTGAGCTTTAGACTATCAATCATTTTAAAGAAGGCAGCAGCTTTTTATTTGTTTTTAGATTATTCATGTGCCTGTTGGACTGAGCAGCAGGAGGTGGCATATCTTTTAAGAAGATAGTATCTTTTGCTTTGTCTAGAGGGCTTCAGGAAGAAAAGATATATATGAAAAAAATGTGGGCTGCCATTTTCATTTAGATGTATTTTAAATAATATTTTAATTGACTGATTGCAATGGACTGATTAAAAACCTATTGGGCCACCCTTCTGCCCTTTAGATATGTTGGAACTGAACTCCAACATACCTCAGAGGAAGGAGGAAGTATCATAAGGTTGAGACTAGCTGTTCTAAACTATCAGTATTTGTATTTCTTACTTATACTTCCTAGTAGTCAGAAATTGTGTTAGATAGGCAGATATTTTCTTATGAATAGAGCCCAGGGAATCAAAGTACTATTTACATAACTAAAAATAGGAAGAATGCACATGTCGTATAAGTGTCTAGCAAAGGATAATGTGTAAGAATATACAGAATGTAGTGCTGTTCCTTAGATCCAACTATTCATATATGCATCTTAGTAAAATTCATGGCATTTCCCTCTACTATCCTCATTGGGAAGCTGCTATACTTTTTTTATTTCTGGGTACACTATATCGGTGTATGCCCCCATAATGCTTGGAATAAAAATTCGATTTGCCATTAAGGTATGTTGATAAAAACTTAAGCAATTATTTTCATGACACTTAAAATCTTTTTATTGTTAATATTAACAATATTGTTAATAGAAAATTATGGTTCACAAAAATAGTGTCATTTTTGAAACAAAAACAAAAGGATATTAATGGAATAATAGAAAAATAATAGGATAAAGAGGGTAGGTTGGCTTATTTGCAGATAAAGGGAAAGATGTGCCATGAACTGTCAGAATTATCTATTCATAACTGCTCAAATGAAGTCTTACTAAATTATCTTGTTCTCAGCTAAAAGGAGATCTAAAACTGCACACTTAGTCCACAGCAAAACAAGTTTTCCTTGACATTGTGCTAATGAATTAGCAAACACAAATACATTTGAAGATACTAACTAGGCCATCAGGTGTCTTAAGGAATTATTATCTAGAATTGTGACTTGCATGGAAAATGATATAGGACACTACTCAGTTCTTGGAGAGTGATGGGAACAGTGACAGAAGGGTAGGGAAGGAATCTACCTGTTCCTATTCTTCCTCTCTGTTTAATGAGGTAACTTGCTCTTGAAATAGTTTACCAGAACTGTTCAAGAGGATTATGCAAACATCACACACTGATGAAAATTAGGAGGATTCTGTCATTCGTTTTTTTAAACTGAACACCTGCTTAGTGGAGTACCTACTGTGTGTATCTGAATTTTCAAAGAAATTGTTTGATTTCTCTGCTGTTTCAGTGTTATTTCAAACTTTATAGATTCTGCTTTGTGACATCTATTTTCATGAAAGATTAATATTCCCAGCTAGATAAATAAAGGTTGCACACTGATTAATTTAGAGAAACCATATGACGGAATGAATAGGCAATATTTGCACAAAGGTTAGTTGCTGAATGTATTAAGAGTTATATATAATGGAACAATAGCGTACCTAAGGGGGGAAAAATGCTTAATGAATGATTCAACATTAACTAGGGAATACGATAAGGTGGTGTATATCTCATTGACTATTTAAGAAACTTATAAACGTACAAAAATTATTCTGGAGGTGTTAGAATTTGATTGATTGAGGACATGAATGTACATGTACTTTGTATGCAAATGTTGCCAAATTGTTGATTCATGTGATTAGCAGCAATTGTGAGTAGAAAGCAGCCAGCTCAGTACTTTGGGTCAATCACTCTGTCTCAGCCCAACCCACCTCACAATGTATTGTTGTTGGACACAGAAGGCAGAAGCATTATATACACTACATTGAGTTATACAAACAAGGATCTAAAAATGAATTTGTTAATGACAAATAACATGTTTGGCAGAGAAAATACATGTGATCAATTAAAAGTTATACATGCATGTTAAAATTAGAAAAAGTAGATAAACGTATATATACCTTGACAAAATATTCACTAAAGATGAGGAAAATAGATGAAGAAATATTAAGACAAGGGACATCTTGGAGAAAAGGGGAATAAAACAGGAATATAGTTGCATATTTTTCAACATATATTTTTTAAAAGTTCTTTTAAATTTGTTGTGAACTGCAAATCAGAAAGGTTTATGTCTTTAAAAACATGTACGTACCATATCCTTTTTTTCTTCTTCCATAGTTTAATACAGTTCCCTTCCTAGGAGCTAAGGTAATATCGAGGTCTGTAGTATGGAATTAATGGTCCTTGAAAGAAGCAAAAATGGCTGTATGTAAGAGGGTATTTTTGCTCACTTTGTTATACAGAAGTGGAAAATTTGGTATGTCAGGAAAGGCATAAATATAAGGTGAATGAAATTCACGTAGGGTACTTTAAAAAGTTATAAGGTAAACCATGGAAAGATAAGGTCAAGAAGATCCAATGATGAATTAATATGTTTTGAATATACAGTTTCCTTCTTGCTTTGAATTACAGGCATCTGGACAGGCCAAGTGGTACAATATATATGTTACTGGGTTTTTATATGTTCACAAAAGTGAAGGAATTATAAATGAAATGATAGTAAAGTTTGTGTTGTGTACATCCCACAATTTCTCAATTAAACAATGCAGAAGCAAGCAGCAGTGCTTTGTTAATATTACACTCCCATATTACTTCTGGCATATGGACAATTTCAAGTTAAAAATCTAATTTGTGGTGAACAATTCCTAAAGAATAATCCAGTTCATGAACAAGATTCCAAAATCAATATTACATTCACTAGGACATTCCTCACATTCAAAAACGATAACAACTACTTTTGATTTACGTATGACAATGAGTATATTTCCCATGCAGGACCTGTTAGACAATGAATCCTATGCATGACAATTTAAAAGTAATTTCTTTCATACAGGATTGTAGGTGAAGGCCTGGGCACTTTTTTCACAGGATATACCCTTATCAATTCCAGGACAGGATGAAGACATTTATGTTGGATCCTTGTCAATTAAACATAACAGCATTTGTCTACAAACTGATCAAGCTTGATGCTCTTCTGGTTGCCATAACATATTCTTGTAAAAACTAATGTAGTCCCTGTAAAAAAAACAAAATTGCTTTGTCAAAAATCATATTAAGCGATGGAATATTTTTCAAAATGGTGTTTGCATCCATTGGTCCTAAGAATAGGTGAAAAGCTAATTGTGACCATTATCCAGCCTTTGACAACTGGGAATTTTGAACAAGCTTTTTCCACTAACATAAAGACTATCTTTATGTCCAATTTGCTTTAGTTCATGGTGGAAATCATAACAAATGGAAAAAGCTTAACTCTGCCATACAAAATAATGCCATACAGAATAATTGTGTAGTATTTATTATTATTCAATCTATTAAAAAAAGAATTTGCTTTTTTTATCATTTTAAATCATTTTAAAGCTAACAAAAAAATGCAAAAACAAATTCAGTGCTCTAAAAAAGGTGTTTTCACAATTATTTGGCTTAAAGGAAGTCAGTGGATCCATAGCCTTTTACATCATAATGAAACTCTTTCCAAGATTTCATGCCAACAGTAAAGAAGTCTTGCCATAGAAAAAATTATTGGGAATTTCTCCTTCTTCAGGAATGCCCTGCCAATTCTTATCCCCAGTGCCAAATTCTCATTTTACATGGCATCATGTAATACCCACAGTTCTTCATATAAGGATTCATCAGGGTAAACAAGCATTTTAAAATTCTCCATGTACTACAGCTATTTATTAGGCTACTTAGCAATGGTTGGTTCAGCTAGCAAGCATTTCTAAATTATACATTTCGAAAATATTAATAAATATCATGCTTTTTTCTATTTAATCCATCCCATTAATCCCATTTCATATAATCCATTCCATTAATATCCATCCCATTAAATGCTGTAAATACAGAAACACTTTCAAAAATTTCCAGTTCCATGAATTACCTGACCGTGTCCATGGAATACTGTGATGATGTCTTCAGTAATGACCAGTATTCACTCATCTGATTAGAATAGAAATATGATTTAGTTTAACAAGATAAAAAAAATGTTCCATGGATATTCATGAATATTGACAATCAGAGAGGCTAAAGATTATAATTCATACATGTAGCTCTGAACAGAAAGGCAGAATATAAACTGAAATAGTAATAACAATTTGGACAACTCCCAGCACTCCCAAAGAAGCACATTGTCTTCTGCAATTAATGCCATCCTAGTATGGTAACTATAATTCCCAACCAGTGTGACTGGCAGTCCTGCATTTACCTTTCTGCAATTTTGCAGTATTTTTTCTTTTCCTTTTTTCCATTTTTCCTTTCCTTTCCTTTCCTTCCCTTCCCTTCCCTTCCCTTCCCTTCCCTTCCCTCCTTCCTGACGATGAACTTGGTTATCATGTCTTAGTTTAGTTTAGTTATTTTTTAATTATAAAACAGAATTAGCATCAACCCAATATGGAAGTTTAGGGAAGACACAATATCTCAGAGCATAGCATTGCAAAGCTAATACTGATTTTGCATGGAAGTATAGGAGAAAAAATACAAACTGAGAGCACATACAATTAAGCTTAAACAATTAAATAAAATACAACATTTTCATAGAATCAGAGTAGAAAAGGAACTTAAAGATTGCTACTCTGACCTCCGTGCTCAAGAAGATTCCCTGCAAAATTGAACTGAATGAATAAATGTAGCATTTCTGATCAATGGCCATTGCATGTCTGTTTTCCATGGAAAGCAAATGCACCACACAATGTGACAATCTTTTCTTCTGGCTGACAACTAATACAATCAGGAACTTTCTCCTGATTTCTACTCTGATTCTACTTCAATGTAGAAATGAACTTCCATTCATTTGTTCCACTCCTGTGCCCTGGGGCAAGGGAGACTAAGTCCACTTTTCTTTCTGGGTGAATATGCTTCTTAACATTTCATCCCCAGAAAGATATTTCTATAATTCATATTAGGAAAAAATATTTCTTAATGTAAGATGCCATTGACAAACAAATAAAAAATTACAGGGGTGAGAAGGATAACAAATTACTCTTCATTATATTTTTTAAAAAAAATTAAAGACTTCACATTCACAAAATTAGATTGCACTATATTCTGATTTCTTTCTGATTTCTAATTTCTTAGAAACCCCTTTGTGTCCTCATTTCCTACTTAATTGCTGAAAGTGAATATGTGATCATTTTGTTTTTTGCCCAGCGTAAGACTGGAGAAACCGCTCTTATACACAAAAAAAGCATTAACTATTTAAACATAAATATCAGCATTTAAATCCCTTGATGCCAGGTCCATCCTAGATGAGTTATGGTTATAAACCACGATCCTCAGACTGAGAGTTTTGAAATGTTCTTCCAATTCTGCCTAAAATGATTATTATTTTGATACTTCTGAATATCATTAACGAGCCTTGGTACTACAGTGGTTTAAAGCACCCTGTTATTAACACAGCTGCCTGCAATTTACTGCTGGTTCGAATCTCTCCAAGGCTCAAGGTTGACTCAGCCTTCCATCCTTTCTAAGGTAGGTTAAATGAGGACCCAGTTTGTGGGGGCAATAAGCTGACTTTGTATAAATATACAAAAGTATGAAGGCTATTGCTTAACGCACTGTAAGCCGCCCTGAGTCTCCGGAGAAGGGCGGCATATAAATCAAATTTAAAAAAATAAATAAATAAGTAAATTAAAGAGAAAAATCAAGTAGATCCAAAGTCCTATAATGAATCTCTGATGAGCTCTATTTTTTAAATCATGCTAGTCTCTCAGCAAAATCTTTGGTTGCAAATGGGAGTATGGTGTTGTGTTTCAAATCTCATTCAGCCCTTGAACTGCCTGCAGTATTTTAGATGAGTCATTTTTCCTCTGGTCAAGTCTTCATCACAAGGTTTTAGGCCAGCATACAGCCTTAAGGGAAAAGGTGAATTAGAAATTGAGTAATAAATATAGATTTTAAAGATGTTAGAAAAGGTCAGTACCTGTTCAGACACTGTAGCTGCATGCCAATTGGCTGGGTAGGGTATCCTTTTAAGTCCTAAAAATTCATTATCTTCTTCTTCAGAGGCAAATGGTAGTCCCCAAGCCACTGAAATGACAAAGCCACACGCTTGACAGTCATGGGTTCGGAGCATATACAAAATCTAAAATATACAGCTGTATGCCAGATTTCTCTAATCTGATGATCTCCAGATATGCTCTAAAGGTTCCCCTTGCACATATGTGCTAGTTGTTCCCGACTCTAGGGGGCAGTGCTCATCTCCGTTTCAAAGCCGAAGAGCCAGCGCTATCCAAAGATGTCTCCATGGTCATGTGGCCGGCATGACTAAACGCCAAAGGTGCACGGAACGCTGTTACCTTCCCACCAAAGGTGGTCCCTATTTTTCTACTTGCATTTCTTACGCACTTTCGAACTGCTAGGTTGGCAGAAGCTGGGACAAGTAACAGGAGCTCACCCCGTTATGTGGCACTAGGGATTCGAACCGCTGAACTTCTGACCTTTTGATTGACATGCTCAGCATCTTAGCCACTGAGCCACCGCATCCCTCTGAGATATGCTTTACTCACGAGCATCTGCATGGGGGCAATTGACATGTGTGTCATGTGGGGGGCCATCACACAAGTGACATGAATTATGAATGTTCCATCAATCATAGATAATGCCATAATACATATCACCTCATTGGGCCTTTTCTTGGATACTAGATTCTACCCATATCTTTTGGTCACACCAGCTATGAAAAATGTAGTTAAACTCCATGTTAGTCATATTCCAGAGATCTATACTAGGGAAAGATTTTCTAAGTTTTTAATATTACTAAGCATGATATCAATAGATTAGGCTGCCTTTTATAATCCTATTAGCATTCAAACCTCAAAACCAAACATTCTGAAAGAAAAAAAATACATCTAGTCTGAGTCACCATAATTTTCCAGTTGCAATCAATTATATCCATTGAAACTGAATTTGATAGATTTAAGAGCACTTCCTTGCAGTTCTTTGTGAATCTCAACAATTCATTCGACCAAAATTAATATGCATATTTCAAGAACAAGCATGATGTGTTTTAAAAGCTTACCTGTAAGCAGAGCAACACAGGTTACCGCATGAAGCATTATAACACTCATGGTGCCTTCTCTGGCGTTGGAATAGTAAAAATTGTATCCTTTTTGACCATTTGATTCCCTTTGCTTTATCAATCATTTACTCTGTGCCTGAACAGTTGTGCAGAAAGAGGGCAGAGTCCATTGTTGCATTTTCATGTTCCATCGACCTCTCTGTGCCCTTTAGACTTTCTTACATGGAAGTTTTGATTCACTTCAGACATGTTTTTCCCTTCTTTGAATGGACACTGGACCCATTAAACTTTAAACTTTATTGCAAACACGTTTCCAGTATTTTTGCCTTGTGAGCAGAGCTGGGTGAAACTACATTCCTTCTTGAAATGAAGGCCAATATGGTCCCCTTTTGCTGTTCCCCAATGTAAGGAAACCATAGACAGCACCCTTTAGTGTTGGTGATTCTATTCTACAGCTACCTAGGTTAGGATAACTTAAGGAATCCGGCATAACTCTCCTTTCCATATCCTCCTACCTACCTGCTCATCATTCCACCACCTGAGGATGTGCAGGCCAACTTGTTGCAGATTCCTATCGGCATCTCTACTTATCATCTGCCTTCCACATTTATTATTGTGCAACTACATACTAAGCCAATATGGATGAGATATGTAAGCAAGCTTGGAGTGGAGACGTTTACAATCAAGCTATTAAGAGCCTGCCATTTTAAATAAAATTTCTTTTAAAACAATGGCTTGAATATTTTGGGTTTTTTTCATGTGGTAAATCGGGGAGGGCAACTTTAAGACATCTTGTGATCCTTGGGATAATTTTAGCTTCCTCACCAAGATTCATGAAAGGATTTTGCCAAAACTAATCACTCCACTTCTCTGAACCAGTTTGCATTATTACAACTGGTTTCTGCACTTCCACTGTCCTACTTAGAAGCTTAATATTATGGCTCTTTACCAAATGGGTGCTTCGAATTCAAGCCTTTATCAAAAGAAAGCAACCCTTCCATGATCTTTAATATCTAGACTAGTGGTATCAGAACTATGGCCCTTTTATGATTTGTGGACTGACTCCCAGAATTCCTGAGCTCAGATCTAGACCATTCAACAACCAGCTATACTGGCTAGGGAATTCTGGGCGTTGAAGTCCACACATGCTACAATTGAGGAACACTAATCTAGACCTTACCTCAGACAAGACCAAAGTCAGAGGAAAAAGGATGCATTTTGGTGTCTGACCCAGAGGTGGGTTTCAGCAGGTTCTGACCAGTTCTGGAGAACCGGTAGTGGAAATTTTGAGTAGCTCAGATAACCAGTAGTAAAAATTCTGATTGGCCCTGTTCCCCCCCCCCCATCTATTGTCTGCCTCCTAAGTCCCAGCTGATCAGGAGGAAATGGGAATTTTGCAGTAACCTTCCCCTGGAGTGGGGAGGGAATGGAGATTTTACAGTATCCTTCCCCTGCCATGCCCACCAAGCCACACCCACAGAACCGGTAGTAAAAAATTTTGAAACCCACCACTGGTCTGACCCCACCTTTGATTAAGTCCATTTACCATGGAGTACTCAGCAAATTATCCTGAGTAATATAGGTCATATATAGAAAAAAACCTATTAAAATAGGTCAGAATATAGCAACTGTTATAGATATTACAACTGTGAATGCTTTGAAAAGAATACAGAAAACTGTATTCCAGTGTGAGGCTTCCGGACCTCTTAAAAGCAGCCATGGTTTTTTAATCTGCTTTGAAAGGATGCTTCAGGCATATCTCTGCTCTTTTCAAAAATCCTCTTTTGAATCATTTTCAAAGTATCTATGTATTCATACCATGCGTCTTTTTTTCTCTTACTGAATATTTGGAAAGAAATTCCACACAGGTTATGGAAAATATGTGAGGATCTCACATCCTGCTACATGAATCTGATGTTTGGATTAGTCCTAAAACTACTAAATTCTTAGGAAATATTTGTTACAGTACTGGTATGGGAATCCATTAGCCTTTTGCATTGACAAGATACAAACTGACGTCTTCTTTCATCATACCAAAAAAGTAAACAAGCAAACCTCAAGCATTTCCTTTGCACTGCAAATTCATTCGTTTGCAAGCAAATAATAATTGTTTTCTTTATTACATAAAAGTGGTGTTGAACGGAATTCTTTCAGCCATCAAATACAACATGTTGCTTACCACAGGAATGAGAATCAAAGAATGATTGACGGCTGGCTTTTCATTCGCTGTTTGAAAGAGAAGCTGACTGTCTCTAGATAATTGAATCTAGAGAATGGAACTAAGGAAACAGATCTTGGCCACTAATCTGGTGCTTATGAGTTATCCCGGTGGATCTTTTGCAAAGGCAATTACAACTCATAACTCTTCAATCTTCCAATATGTGTGCTTTTTCAGAGGAGCTGCAATTCTCTTACCTGCAAGCCACCATCTCTGAAGCCCTCATTTCAAATGATGGGCTTGGATACAATGTCATTCAGTCCTATTTACAAACCACCCAGGTTCCAATGCACCTTACTACAGATAGCGGGGCAGAGGCAGGTTGCAGTGAATATGAGCTTTGAGTTACTTGACCCCTGGCCGCCTGTGTGGATAAATCCCTGCAGTTTTCTTGGCAACAATCTTGGAAGCCCTTTACTACTTGCCTCCTTAAGGTTGATAGAGAGTCACCAAGCTGGCTTTGTGCCTAAATCAGGACTCCCAGATAGTAGCCTTAACTACACTAAACCAGCTCACTGAGATAAGAGTATAATGATTATTTACACTGTGGTTGATGAGACCTACTGTACAGAGTAATGAATAGATATTCCGTACAGTAGTTTGGACTCCTAAAGCAGAAGTCTTGAAACTTGGCAGCTTTAAGTCTTGTGGACTTCAACTCCCAGAATTCTCCAGCCAGCTATGCTCCCAGAGAATTCTGGGAGTTGAAGTCCACAAGTCTCAAAGGCCAAGTTTCAAGACCTCTTGTCCTAAAGTTTCGCGTCCGCACGTTGCTGCAACGTTGTTCGCATCGCTTTCTCCACAAGAGGGCGCCTGCGGTCCGTCTCTCTTTCTTGCCCTGCCCTATTCCGTAGCCTTTTCGCAGCCACGCCCTGGTCGCGCTGCGTTGCACGTGGGCGGCGAACGGAGGGTTGACTTTGTGCTGTTGACTCTCGGCGACGGCGCCCTTCGGGGAGCTGCTTCTCCTCGGCAGCGCCGATGGCCGAATCGGCTCTTTACGGAGGTCTTTGTAGGGCGGAGTTAACGCTGGAGTTTTTGCATGCAAACTCGTGAGTGAGACAAGAGGCGGCCACTTGTTGGGTGTCGCTACCTTGATTAGGCTCTACCTTCAATGGGCAGTAGGGGGGGTGAAAAAGTCCGTTTTCTTGAATAATACCGATAACTGTTTGCAGGACGGCTCCCTTTTCCATAAAGACTGTTTCATTCTTAAACCCGAAGAGTAATGAAATTACCAAAGCGCGGATCAAACGGTTGACCAAGTGTTTGTCAAACTGGGAAATCCAGGGAGTTGAAGTCCACACATCTTAAAAATGTCCAAATATGGAAAACACTTAACTAGACAAACAGAGGAAGGGGAGTTGTTTTTGTGCCTTTCTGCACAACGGGAATGAGACCTACTGGTTTCGATGGAATAAAAATCCCTGAGATTGTGGCATCCTATAGATGGGTACATTCATTTGCCAGCCCAGCACACAAACTTTTGTGGATGACATCTGTTAGGTCCCGCGATATTTCATGATAATAAATGTTTTTAAGAAGTTGCGTCTTAATACCGAACAGAGTTGCATATTTTATACATTAGATAGTTGTAGTCAATATACTACTAACTCGGATCAGCGGTAGTCCTCTTGCGTTTAGTGGTGGCAGTTCTCAGGTAAGTATGAACAGGTGTTTTTAATTTTAGGCAATAAGACATCCTAGGGAACCCAAGTCAATCTGTATTGCAATCATTAATCAGATTTGTTAGAAACAAATCTAACAAGTAAGCCTGAAAATGAAAGAAGTAAGATAAATCAAACAAGGGCTAAGAATAAACCAGAAACATTAACTAAAAGAAATGTTGAAGATCATAAGGTTCAATTAAAAAGGTATGCCTTTTTACCTGTCCCAAACTTAGTGTTTGAACTAAGCATGTTGTCCCTGTTCTTGTCTGCTAGTTAGGGGTGTATCTTACGATTTATGATGGTTGTATTTTATCATTATGAACATGATTTATCACTTGTTGCTTTTAGGTACGCTGAGAGCTTATGCACAGGAGACAGCATCCAATCACACTTGGCCAATAAGGAATTCTATTTTGCTATGACATATGGAAAATTAATTGCTACTACTTTCCCGCGTATGCACCAATATTTCTCAAAGCAGTATTTATCTCCCCCACCTTCCCCTTTCACTTTTTCATATTTCAAAAACTACAGGGTTCTAACGCACTCCAAATCTTTTTTTGTATTGCCATTTTCTGCATGTGTAATTCATCCCTATGTTTCCTGGCTTCTTTTGTGTTAAAATTGCCTTAATGCTTCTTTCTAGCACAACACACGACTTCGTTTTTGGAGCAATAGCTGAATTGATTGACAATTCACGGTAAATATGTTGCTTTTAAGGTCCATGTTTTATAATAAGCTAAGCTTTTCATTCTGGTATCTGAGTGCCTTTCCCAGTGGCCTTTTATCCTGTTTGTTCCTATTTTATCCCCACCCCCCATCCACCCAATTTAGACAATAATATTATGGTACTTAGACCAGCTTCATTCAGATTTTGCATCAACAGAATGGCTATGGCTGGAAACTTGAATAAAACCAATCTCTTCTATAACCTTCTCCAAGACTTTGCATTCAGATGGGTTAGGGTGTTTTTTTATATCCAACATGATTTTGGTTGGTTGGAAGTTCTAGCAATTGACGTTCCACTATGCGTGTAGTGGGAATCTTGCTCTACTGCCATATTAGCTTCTTACACCTGTAGGCTGAACCTTCTCCCTGAGTCAGAAGTTCAGGGACTGGATCCTTCCAACCCTGATAATGGAGCTTCTGGCCAAGGTGGTAGGGACTGACAAAAAAATCTAATTAGTTGTTTCTTTTGCTTCATTTAATTAAATGCTGTTATTTAAGAAATCAGCTTTAGTTTTCTACATCTCTCGGAGAATGACGGGGAAAGAATCAATGTCACCCATTGATTGGGCTGTTTTGGTGCTCTATTGAAGCTTAGCCTTTAGCTTAGTGAACCTTCTTAAGGCTTATTTACTACCCTTCTAACTGCAGCTTCTGGGTGATGTACAAACTAGTTAATAACTACTCTTGAACATGAAGCATAAAAACTAACCCAGAAAGGTGCACAGTATACAAGATAAAATAATCAGGCAGCCATGAGGATGATAGTAAACAAAAACATAATTCTTATTTTTCGATACCATTATAAGTTGTAGGAATGGGAGATCATGTCAAATCAACTGCAAATTCACTTCCCCAGTGCTTTTTTTGGTGGGTTTTTTTCACCATAGAACTGCTCACATTATGTGCCATGTGCACTGACATTTCTTTAAAAGCTACCTTTTGAGTTTGGCAAAGCAACCCAATACCCCTTTCAGTCTATCTCAACATAGTCAAGATCTTATGATACAGTTGGGCAGGATAAATAGAAGAAGAGGAAGATAGTTCTCTTTTTGGTTTGCTTGCTCACAGTCTTAGCATAGTTTTTTTTAAAAAAAACAATCATTTAATTTCTTTCTCCAGATTGGGAAAATGGAGGGTTGAGAGGAAAAAAAGTATTTTGGCCTCTTTTTCTGAGGTTTGGACTGGAAATCCAGATGCAGAGGGAAGAATTCAGCCTACTGCGCAGTCCCAATACTGCAAATTCTTTTGGCTTTCCATATGTTTAATCCACTGGTTTGGTGGGCTTTATAACTTACACTTTATTGTAGCTTTTCAATTAAATTTTATTGTGTTTTTATTTTGCTATTCAGTGGCAACTTACATTAATATGAGTTGATATAATTTAAACTAGAGTGTTCTGCATTTCCAGGACATAAATTCTGAGTAAAAAGGTAATACTTATTATTACTCTGGTGTTTTTTTTAATACTTTCAATATCTAAACAATATTTTCAGAGATGCTGGTGCCACAAGGCTTGACATTTATACTGGTGAGTTCTATATAAATACTCATTCAGATATTAAATATGTACTTTTCAATGACTTCTTTCCTTGATTGCATTGTTTTATTGAACATTGCATTAAATTTACTTATTAACTGTGATTTGGGAGTTTTCTTTCTTCCTTTATTTAACAAGGCAAAGTTCTATCCTATACCTGGGTAGAAGTTACGACAATGTTCTTGTCTTTAACCTAAAGATCTAGTGGCATATATGTTTTTATATACGTATACATACACGTACACATCAGTGGTGGGTTTCAATTTTTTTTTACTACCGGTTCTGAGGCTGTGGCTTGGTGGCTATGGCAGAGGAAGGATACTGTAAAATCTCCATTCCCACCCCACTCCAGGGGAAGGTTACTGCAAAATCCCCATTTCCTCCCAATCAGCTGGGACTCGGGAGGCAGAGAATAGACCTCTGGCAGGGCCAGTCAGAGATGGTATTTACTGGTTCTCCGAACTACTCAAAATTTCCGCTACCGGTTCTCCAGAACCGGTCAGAACCTGCTGAAACCCACCTCTGGTACACATACACACACGTGTGCATGCACACACAGAGTGCATTCACTGAGTATAAATTAATGAGAAAAAAATGAATTTCAACTGTAGAATCAGGCTGCAGCATAACAAAATTGGCAAAAGTGAAGGGGGTCTGAATGCTTTCTGAATGCACTGTATACACACACACATACAGCCAGAGAGAGATAGTTTGGCTTATAAATATATAATTGTTTATTAAACAGTAATACACATACAAATTTAAACATAATAAAACTAATCTGACACTTGTTAGTTTGTTTATCAACTGGAAGAAAGAGAAGGTAAAGATCTTACATATATGGGGATGAGGGAAAGAAAAAAATCATACTGAATTTGATAGCAAATGTTTTGTTTATTAATAAGCATGTTTAGGCTGGATATGATAGAGGAATGTGCAGCCTTTTATTCTCTGAGGGCTTCAGTTGCCTTTTGAATATTGGGTTAATTCCATAAAGTGAGCATTACCAGAAATAGCTCCATTTCGTTTATTTATTTATTCATTTATTATATTTCTATACCGCCTTTCTCCCGTAGGACTCAAGGCGGTGTACAGTCAAGAAAAATATAGATACACAAACATCATAAAATTGCTAATTAAAATTATTATTATAACATAGTTTGGCCCAATTAAATAGAACCTAAAATTAGATAACATTTAACATTTAAGTTGAGCTTCATTATAATTAAACTAACTAAACTTATTCGTTAGACTTATTCCTCATATGTTTTTCTCCTCTGCCAATTTATAATTCAGTATCTACTTTTAGATGGTTTGGGGCGCGGGGTTGAAGGGTGGTATAGCCTAGGCTTTGTAGGGAAGCATAGAGTTTGCTGCATCTTATTTGAGATTAAGTTGATATGCAATACTGGGCAGAACAAAGCTTAATTTATTTAAAATTAAATAAGCCATTGCTGAAGAAATGGAAATAATTTTATTGCAACCTTATTCATTCATTTATTTATTTATTTTATTTTATTGAATTTCTATACCGCCCTTCTCCCGAAGGACTCGGCATAAAGTTTCAGCATAAAGTTATAAAAAATAGGGAAGGGATCAATAAGTTCCTTAGATCAATCAGTCAATAAGTTCCTTGGACTTTCCTTCCCTCTGATTCCCCCCTCCTATGGGTTTTTTTTTCTCTTTCATGTAAGCCCTGCCTCTTCTGAAGGGGGCAGAGAAGTGTGCAGGCAAGAGGAAGTACCACCTGCCTTTTCTGTGCTTGGTTGGCTTTCTGTAAAATAGGATTTCTCAACCTTGGTGACTATAAGATATGGATTTCAATTTCCAGAATTCCTCAGTCAGAATATGACGGCCTTAAAGTTGCCACAGTTGAAAAATACCGCTATAGATACTATTGAGGAGGGAACTAAGAACAAAACTTCTCTTTCCCATGCTTTCTCTTTCAGTGAATAATGATAACCTGCGAGGAGGATTTATCCTGTGCTTTCTAGATGATGGATGTGGCATGTCCCCTTGTAAGTACTATTTCCTTGAACATGAGTGTGGTGTCATGGTTTCAGAGTCATATTTGGTTTGTGGACCCATGGGGAATGGGAAAGAAAGATCCAACTTCTGCTCTCAATTCAGCCATAATTCTGATTGGACATGTTGGCCTAGACATGGTTTTTAACCATAGCCTTCCTCAATAACGTTGTGAATAAAAAGACAGGTACATTACCTTAAGTTGTGGAATGAAAGATAGAATTTGCACATGAAAAGTAGTTCTTTTCAACCTCCAAGTTTGACTAAAGACTCACAAACAGACTTGAACAAGAGAAAACTCCCTCTGCAATCCCAGGTGGCATTCCCATGGTTCATTTCTGGATTTTGCTATGACACAACTTAAAAGAAAAAATATTGTTATTTTTTATGTTCTAAATAAGTGCAACCTTGTTTAGATATTACAATCTTAGCACAAGTGTAAAAATAATCCTTTTTTTTTTTTTTTTTGAATAGAGCTGTGGATGGTCACAACTGCAGCTACATGATCTGAAGGGAAGAAAATACTGAAATAGAAGGGACAGGGAGCAAATATTGAAAGCAGAATTGATTTGTAGCAATGTTGCTTTCAATCTAATGAAGGGTTCCAATCCCGCAGATGCCTTTGCTCTGACAGTAAAAAGCACAAGTTTTATTATAAACAGAATTATTCAGCCACATTACACATCATCAGTAAACGTCTTAGAAAGCAACCTGCTCAGTTCCATAGAGGGGTTACAAGTAGTCCTCAATTTACGAACACAGTCGAATCCAAAAGTTATGTAGTTAAGTGGCGGTGGCGGTTGATACCCCCAGGCTTATGGTCATGGGGGATTTCAACCTACCGTCCGTGGGCGAGGCGTCTGAGGTGGCTCGGGAGTTCATGGCTTCCATGACAGCTATGGATCTGACCCAGTTAATTCATGGCCCTACTCACACGGGAAACACGCTGGATCTGGTTTTTGTCTCTGGACAGTGATCGAGTGATCTCGAGATAGGGGATATAGTCACCGAGCCCTTGTCATGGTCTGATCACTCTCTCCTTCGTCTCGACCTTCGAACCGCTACACCCCGCTGCAGGGAGGCGGAGCCGGTAAGATGGTTCCGCCCCAGGCGCCTGATGGAACCTGATAGGTTCCAGATGGAGCTTGGGCCATTCCCTGAGGCTCTGGCACACGCCCCGACTGGAGACCTAGTGGCCACCTGGGATAGGGCGGCCGCTGGAGCTCTGGACCGGGTCGTGCCTTTGCGGCCTCTGACCCGGCGCCAATCTCATTTAGCTCCTTGGTTTACCGAGGAGCTGAGGGAGTTGAAGCGCCGGAAAAGACGCCTAGAGAGTAGTTGGAGGGCCAGCCGTTCTGAATCTGACCGGACACTGGTAAGATCTCATATTAGGAATTACCTAGTGGCGATAAAAGCAGCAAAATGTAGCTATTTTGCTGCTCTTATTGCGTCATCAGATAATCGCCCGGCCGCCCTGTTTAGGGTGACCCGCTCCCTGATCCACCAGGAAGCGCGGGAGGACCCCTTGGAGGGTAGAGCCGAGGATTTTGTTCAATATCTGTATGACAAAATCACTCAGATTTGGGAAGATCTGGACTCCGACTGGGTAGTCTCAGGAGGAGGGACAGGGGCAGGTCTTGAGAATGTTATCTGGGATGAGTTTGATCCTGTGACCCCTGAGGATGTGGACAGGATTCTGGGTAGACTGAACGCGACCACTTGTTTATTGGACCCGTGTCCCTCCTGGTTAGTGCTGGCTTCTCGGGAGGTGACACGAGGCTGGTTCCAGGGGATTATAAATGCTTCGTTGGGTGAGGGTGTCTTTCCTGCCGCCTTGAAAGAGGCGGTGGTGAGGCCTCACCTCAAGAAGCCATCCCTGGACCCGGCAATGTTGGTAAATTATCGTCCGGTCTCCAACCTTCGTTTTGTGGCGAAGGTTGTTGAGAGTGTGGTCACGAAACAGCTCCCCCAGCACCTGGATGAAACAACGTATCTGGATCCGTTCCAGTCGGGCTTCAGGCCCGGGTACAGCACGGAAATGGCATTGGTCGCGTTGGTTGATGATCTCTGGAGGGCTCGGGACAGGGGGTGCTCCTCTGTCCTGGTCCTGTTAGATCTCTCAGCGGCTTTTGATACCATCGACCATGGTATCATGCTGCACCGGTTGGAAGAGTTAGGGGTGGGAGGCACTGTGTTGCGGTGGTTCTCCTCCTTTCTCTCTGACCGGTCGCAGTCTGTGTTGACAGGGGGACAAAGGTCGACCCCGAGGCCCCTCATATGTGGGGTGCCGCAAGGGTCGGTCCTCTCGCCTCTCCTGTTCAACATTTATGTGAAGCCGCTGGGCAAGATCATCCGTGGTTTCGGGGTGGAGTACCATCAGTACGCTGACGACACCCAGCTGTACATCTCCACCCCGGATCACCCCAACGATGCCCTTGAAGTGATGTCCCGGTGCCTGGAGGCCGTACGGATCTGGATGGGGAGGAACAGGCTCAGGCTCAACCCATCCAAGACCGAGTGGCTGTGGTTTCCGACGTCCCAATATAGTCAGTTGGCGCCATCTCTGACTATTGGGGGTGAATCACTGGCCCCCACGGAGAGGGCTCGCAACTTGGGCGTCCTCCTGGATTCACGGCTGTCTTTAGAAGAGCACTTGACGGCCGTGACCGGGAGGATTTTCTATCAGGTTCGCCTGATTCGCCAGTTGCGTCCCTTTCTGGATCGGGACTCGTTACGCTCGGTCACTCATGCCCTCGTCACCTCCTGCCTGGACTATTGTAATGCTCTCTACATGGGGCTCCCCTTGAGGAGCACCTGGAGGCTCCAACTGGCGCAGAGTGCGGCCGCGCGGGTGGTTATGGGAGCGACATGGCGCTCCCATGTGACACCTCTCCTGCGCGAGCTGCACTGGCTCCTGGTGGTCTTCCGGGTGCGCTTCAAGGTTTTGGTTACCACCTTTAAAGCGCTCCATGGCTTAGGACCTGGTTATCTACGGGACCGCCTACTACCACCAATAGCCTCCCACCGGCCAGTACGCTCTCATAGAGAGGGACTCCTCCTGGTGCCGTCAGCCAAACAATGTCGGCTGGCGACCCCTAGGGGGAGAGCCTTCTCTGTGGGGGCACCTACCGTCTGGAATGAGCTCCCCCCAGAGATACGGAGGATCCCGGATCTGCGCACCTTCCGCCGCGCTGTGAAGACTCTTTTATTCCATCAAGCAGGCTTGGCTAATCTCCTCCCTCTTTTAATATATAAATTTTAAATCTGTTCTTAAATTATTGGGGTGTTTTAATTTGTCTGGGCCAAAATGATTTAATTTGATTTTAACTGGTTTTTTAAATTTTTGTATTTATGTATTTTATTGCTTGGCTGTTCACCGCCCTGAGTCCTTCGGGAGTAGGGCGGTATACAAATCAAATAAAACAATAAAACAAAACAAGTGAGAAATTTGTTCAGTGAGTTTTGCCCCATTTCATGACTTCTTTGCCACATTTCTTAAGTAAATCACTGCAGTTGTTAAATTAGTAACAGGGTTGTTAAATGAATCTGGTTTCCCCATTGACTTTGCTTGTCAGGAGGTCGCAGAAGGAGACCATGTGACCCTGGGACACTTCAACCGCTCACAACTGTGAGTCAGTTGTCTAGCATCCAAATGTAAATCACATGAACCATGGGGATGCTACAACAGTCATAAGTGTGAAAAATGGTCATAAGTCACATATTTAGTGCTGTTGTAACTTTGAATGGTCACTAAACAAACTGTTCTAAGTTGGGGACTACCTATATTTATAGGAACTTTCTTCTGCTATTCATGGAATTTCAAATTTGAAACAAAGAATGGTGGGGGGTCAGGAAAGGTCCAAAGGAAGCCTTCACATTTCTAAACATGTTCCTATTAATTCTCTTTTTTCCTGGATAAAGCTCATTTTTTAATTTTTAGTTTTGTCACAGATATTTTTCTAGTCCCCAGATCAGTCTGATAGCTCTTATGTCTTTCTACCTTTATAATACCTTTGCAAGGCATGGTGCACAAAATACTTAATAACAATCATTCAGAATACCATTTTTCAGTTTCGTCTGGCTCTGTCATGTTTTATGCAGGGTAAAACAGAAAACAGAATGTCTAGTGCATCTTAACTTATATTGATGCTAAACTGAACCCTGTTCCTGCAAAAGAGAGGGAGAGAAAGGCTTTATTGGCAGTGGTTGTAGGCAGTGGTGGGTTGCTCCCAGTTTGCACCGGTTCACAAGAACCGGTAGTAAAAATTTGTAGTAGTTCAGAGAACCGGTAATAACATTGGCTGGCCACGTCCCTGAACCGGTCTCTGGCCTGGTTGCCGCTCACTTACCTCGCCCACCTCATCAGAGACTTTTTTTTTTTACTTTTAAAAGCATTTTTTCTACAACCTCTTCGGCCGAAAAAATGCTTTTAAAAGTTAAAAAAAAACCCCATCTGATGATCATGTGGCTCAGCTGGGATTGTCAGAGGCTTCTAAAAGAATTTTTTTCTGCAACCTCTTAAGGTTGTAGAAAAAATGCTTTTAAAAGTTAAAAAAAAAAAAGTTGGCCACGCCCACCCAGTCATATTACCACCACTAAGCCACACCCACAAAATAAGCCACTGCCACAGAACCGGTAGTAAAAAAATTTAGAACCCACCCCTGGTTGTAGGAGGGTGAACCAAACACTGGCCTGTGAGTGCCTACATTAAACTGTGTGAAATTTATTTGTTGACCATTCTTCACTCATTCTCACTCATTTAAAAATGAAGTGTATTTCAACTGCCAGCTATCCTTTCAGTCTGACAGAATTTCTTTATAATATCACTTGGATGGTATCTTATCCCAAGGGATGAAATGTGCATTCTGTTATATTCCATAGCATAGAGTACCAGCAGAGTGAAAAGAGGCAGCAAAAGATATCCTGATGCCAGCAGTTATTTTTAGTATCAGGGCAACGGCTGGAGTTCCACCAACATTTTCTCATAAGGAAAGTTTGAGCCAAATCACAAGGAAGACGAGAAAACTAACTACACAGACAGACTAGATATACATTCAAATAGGCTATCAGAATATTACAAGTTTGATTGTGCTTTACCTTCTCTCCCTCTTATTCAACCGGGGGGGCACGGGGGGGGGGGGGGCTAGCCTGCATGACTTCCTAACGTTATCTCCTTTCCCAGTGCTTAAGGCGTGTTTCTGCTCATTTTGTATTCTAATGGCTTTGAAATCTCTAGGACGGGGGTGAGGAGCTGTGACCCTTTTATGACCTGTGGACTTCAACTTCCAGAATTCCTGAGCCAGTATGGCTAACTCAGGAATTCTGGGAGTTGAAGCCCACAAGTCATAAAGGGGCTATAGTTCTCCACCTCGGCTCTAGGGCAATCTACACCAAGGCTTTGAAACAGTCATGTGCAAGCAACCAGGTCCACATGTGTAGGGTTCAATAACTACGTTATTGTATTCTACCTACAGGGTGTAGGAATAATACAGGTATAATACAGGAATCTATCCAGACTGCTTGGGAACTTCCTGGGAAGTTCTCGAGTTCTTGGGAACAAATAGATAAGGTCCCATGGAATTAGGGGCGGGGAGGAGAGAGTCAACCTTAGTCTCTTGAGGCTGCGCACTGACTCAAGGCTAATTTCCTGTTTCAGTCCTCTTCCTTGCCTGGTTGGCAGCTTCTCATCAGAAACTGGAATTGGTCTTTGCAACCCTTCAGCAGATTTGATCATGTCAGATGACCGTACCATGTTATCATCTGCCAACAGCATTGCACATAGTTGAGCTTATTATTATAGTTGATCACTTATGCAGCCAGATTTGGCATTTTTATCCATCTGTCAAGTTCTTCCCAAGTACTTATGATAGGCAGACTTTATTTGATGGTGTTAAAGGTATCGTCACACAGGATGTAAGCCATTCAAAGTAAAGCTGTCTTTTGCAATTGACCGGTGGCGATAATGCTGACAGTGTTCAAGGGGTGTGCCAATGTTTTGGAATTTATTGTTATTCTAATATTCTAATATAATACAAAATTATTTTCCATGTTGTTTCCCATGGCAAAAATACAGTACTTCAACAGTTTGCCATAGCTTGGATTTGTTCCCCTTCTTCACTATAAAGTCTACTGCTTTGGGATTTCTTGAAAATCTTGAATTCGATGTGGTCCTAAGCTTTTTTCAAGTTCAGATATACAGAGAAATAGAGACAAATCTACTATGTGAAGGGATACTGAATATAAGAAATCTAACTTTGTAAACCATTAGTTTTTGACACATCAGTTCTTGGACCAGAATGAGTTGCTAAAGACAGTAGTGATGAAGGATCGAGATATTAAGTTCAGATTGGCATATATTGGGTTTGAATATCACATATTACAGCCACTGTGTAAGTAATTTTAGATAAGACATAATCTTTCAAATATGGACTATAACATATATATAGATAATAATCTCTACTTTAGACAGTTACAATGATTAATGAAGTATATAATACGACCTTACAAAATTTTAAATGTTAGAGTATGATTTTTTAAAAAAAATATGTACTGTTAACACAACAGGAAATTTGAACAACATTTGAAACTATGTTACAAATTTATTTTAGATGAAGCTACAGATATTGTATATTTTGGAAGATCTTCTAAGAGAAAAGACCCTAAAATGATTGGACGTTATGGCAATGGACTGAAATCGTAAGACTTACTTCTTTCTACATTTTATTATATCATTTTTATTCTGGTTGTCTTGAAGTACAGGAAGAAATACATAAAATGCCAAAGTCTTGCAGGTTAAATGCTAGAAAAATAAAAGTTTGCACCAAATCTAACAGTAACTACTATCACTAATAATACCTTTATTCACAAACATATGCAAACTTGTGAAGCAATATATAAGCAATGCTCTTGTATTTGGAAAAATGTATTACTTAAAATAGGTAATAAATGTATTTATGGACATAAAAGAATGTTGCAGTCAGTGTTAAAGCAAAATAGATTTTATGTTATATTGCTGCAAAATACGATGATAACCTTGACAATATCAACAAAGTAAAACATAATTTTCATTGTACCATTAATGCTTACCTGGGGAGAAAAAGCTTTAATAGATATACTGTTTGTTTTTTTAAAAAAACAAAATCCAAGGCCAGTTTATCATAAGTACTGAGATAGAAGCTTGCCATGTGTGTGGATAGGATAGGCTTATATTTGTAACAAATGGCTACAATCTTAAATCACCATATTCACCCATATTCAACCTTCACCCATATTCAGATTCTGCCGTATGTGGGTAGATAGGTGATAAGATGGAGACTGAATGGCTAATTAAGCAGTTGTTAGAAAATGGAGAAATGCATAGAAAAGAGTAGGATACAATTCAAAGCTAAAATTTGAAGGATAATTCTGATATTCCACCCTGGATTCTGATGCAGCAAAAAAAATAAAACTGAGAGAAAAGGGAATGTGAAAAAAAGACAGTAAAGGAAACTAAATATTAAATTATATTAAATTCTTAACTAAATATCAAATTAAATATTAGGTTAAATTCTGGCAGTAGCATATAAGCATTTATGTTTTATATGAATCTCTAGTATTATCAGTTTTTTAAATCAGTAAAGTAAGGAAAAGAAGAAAACTATTCGGATTCATTAGCTGTTCAGATTCAATAATTCATATTTTGAAAATGACTTTTTTCCCCTATATTTTTACTACAGAGGATCAATGCGTATAGGGAATGACTTGATATTATTTACCAAAAAAAGAGAATACAATGACGTGTCTTCTTTTCTCTCAGACATTCTGTGAAACAGAAGGTCTCAGTGAGGTATGCTTATTCACAACTACATTTTGAAGTATTTATTTCCCATTTTTATGTCCTGGTTCAGACCAAGGTGGTTCAAATATTGTTATGTAATTAAAACATGACCGTGTATAGCAATGGTTCTCAACCTGTGGGTCGCGACCCCTTTGGGGGTCGAACGACCCTTTCACAGGGGTTGCCTAAGACCATCGGAAAACACATATTTTCAATGGTTTTAGGAATAATTTTATGGCTGGGGGTCACCACAACATGAGGAACTGTATTAAAGGTCGCGGCATTAGGAAGGTTGAGAACCACTGGTGTATAGACTGAAATAACACTAACACTGAAGTGCAAAGAAACCCAAAGAAACATTATATATTGCATTTATATTTTTACCATTTCTTCCTACTTACATAAAAATGCACAGTGTCTATTCATGTTGCCTTTGTGTTACTTTTCCAGGTCATTTTTATATAAATGAAAAATATTTTAAAATCCCAATGAATCCTCCACAACAAAATATATGAATTAACTTATATCCAAAAGAGAGTCTCTATAACATGCAACCACTGTGTATGTTTCATTCATGGGCTTTGATTGTTGCAAGTAAGCTGATTCTTTTTTTCCAATCCCACATAATACTTAAAATAAGCTTATAAAAATTATTTATTGCATATGGGGAAATTTGGAATGTGGGTAGCACTCTCATGAATATTTACAGAAATGACTACCTGATTAGGGAATTCCCCATTCATAAATTGGGTGTAATTGTGGGGGAAGCTTGACTTAAAACTTGCAATTACCAGGAGATAAAATGGATTAAGTTATGTCCACTGGCCCACTTGGGATAGAATCTAGGCATCACCCACACTTATTTATATGTTATAAGAATACTTACAGGTTTATATATGTCTTAGGTCAGGGGTCTGCAACCTTAAATACTCAAAGAGCCATTTGGACCCGTTTCCCACAGAAAAGAAAACACCGAGAACCACAAAACTCTTCCTGTGCCTGACTATTTCTTGAGCGGCCACAAAACTAGCATATGTAGTTGAATTAAACCTCCTGTTTTCTTCCGAAACTTTTCTTTACTAATGATTTATCCATGGTTGGCCTACTGAGGGTTGAAAAGCTCAATAAATAGTGTGCCAGGCGGGTGTTGCACATTGGCAGTTGTGACGCATATTTTGAGTGACGGAGCCGCAGCAGAGGGGTGAAAGAGCCACATGTGGCACCAGGTGTTAAAATATAAAGATGATGCTGGTATTTTACCCTCAACATCCAGTTGTATTTATAAGCATTGTTGTGTGTATTTTCACCTATCACAAAGAGAGCAGAGAATCTGGCAATAAGATTTTCCAGACACATTTATGCCCCAAATATGCTGTTTTGGTAACTCCAGTCTTAGCTGCAAAAATAGATATATCAGAATAATTTAAATATAGCAGAACAATAATTCAAGAATCAGCCTCATCAGAGATCGTTGTATAAAACATGCTATTTGCATGCACCATTAGCCTTATATTGAAAATTTATAAAATATAAATACAGGCAGCACTGAACAGAAGTACAAATACTGTTCTATAAATCTGTATTCTATTCTTGTCATTTCCTATAATTGAGAAGTACTTTTGAATGAATAGATAGACATAGTAAAATACACTTCTAGATTCTGTTTCATTTTATTTTAGATATCTTTCTGCCCTGGCAAGTTTAAAATACAGACTTTATCACATGGAATCAGCAGTTGAATCTTAATTAAGGGAATACTTTGCTCCAGTCATTTTTCTGCCTTCAACATTTTAATTAAAATCTACCATTAAAAATCTGATTTTCAGATTACTTGAAATGGTAAGATTTTAGGAAAGGGACCTTACAGTGTCAGTTTTTCCTATCTTTAACCCTGCCATTTACTCTCACCTCAACATGTGTAACTTTTTTTAAAAAATACCTCTGTGCTGGGGAAGACAATGTCATTATCCTAGAATATCTATGTCTCATATCCTATCCAGAAGGAACAGTTCCTTAATATAAGAAAATGTGTATGAAAGTTTTAGAACAAATTGCCGTAATGATTATAAATGACGGCTACTGTCATAAGTCTTTGCCCCTTCATTTCTCATTAAACAGATGACAATAGAAGAGTGGATAATTACTAAATATTTGCTTCTCTGAAGATGGTGTGTCTCTTATTTCTGCCTGGACACTCTGCTGTGACAGTGATTGATGGGATGTTTTGAACATACATCTGATTCTAGGGCAGAAAATCATGTTCCCATTTAGAAATAATGTTTTGCCTGTGGACCTAATTTTAACCCATTGAAGAAATGTGAGAAAGAGAAGGCTGAGCACACAAATATAGGTCATGCTCTTAGTATTGAAAGTAGCCATCTTCGGCCCAGGTTGCAAACAGTTCCCAAAGCATATTTTTCATGCCCCTCTTGCTACTACTGTGTTTGGACAGTATAATTATTGCACATGGAACACATGGTTGATCAACATTTTAGGCATTACAGACAAAAACTGTACAGTAAGCCCCAAAAGATTTGAAGCAAACTTTCAAGAGAAAAAAAGGGAAATATCTATAGTATCCACATGTGTGCTTGGTTATTTGAAGTGAAGCTCTCTTTATTCCAGAGGTTAATGGTCTCAGTTAATGTTCATAACTGGGCCTAAACTTTTGATTACAGATTGTTGCAGTTATTACCATTTGGTCATTTCGACTTGGGTCACCACATGACCTGGCTTAATTTTTACAATTGTTTTGTGGATGGCTGTAAACCAAGTCACCATGGTTGTTAAGTGAACTGTGTGATCATTAAGCAAACCGTGTGGTCATTAAGCAAATTCACCATATCCAGTAGGTGCTTTTTTTTGCCATTTTCTGCCAGAAAACATCCCGAAAGTCACAAATAGGGATCACTTGACTGTGGGACAATGCAGTTGGTTATAAATATAAGCCAGTTGCCAAACAACCAGAATGCAATCTCATGACTGGGGAAGAGGGAGTGGGTGGGTGGCAGTCTAACTTTGAGAACAGGTCATGAGTAATTTCTTTTGAGTCCTTCATAACTTTGAAGGAAAACCTATAGTAACATTTTAACATGTTGAAATCTTAACTCTTTTCTAGAAAAATAGATAAACCACACATTTATTTAAAAAAGTATTGACTCCAGTAGACCTAAAAGGGAATCTTAAAAGTTATCTCATCTTAAGAGTTTAAGAAATGTTTTTCGTTAACTGATTCATTAGAACTCAAACCTCCTGTTTCTATTCCTAATTTTTTGTTAACTTTACCATTGTTAATGTTTACCTACTTATTTACTTATTTATTTGTTTGACTGGTATGCCATCCATCTCATCTACAGGGGATTAATATACTGAATAGTTTTAGCCTCTAAATATAGTCATATAAATTTGCTAAACTGTTTAATTGGATAATTAAAAGTTAATTAAAAATGAAGTTCCAAGGTTACCCACACAGCAGTTCTTCTCTGAGAAAATAATGTTTTAATTGAACAAAAACTCTTTAAGGCATTTACGACAAGTTAAAGACTTTTTTAAAGTCAGAGAAATCATAAATGTGTCGTTACTAATAATAAGATCTCCAGATTTTTCTGGGGAAATACTTATACTTCCTATTATGGAACAATTATATGACCAATAGCCACAGAATTTTAATTGCTAAATAGAACCAAATATGAGGGGTATTTGATACTCTCTGAGCTTAGTTATTTTCTTGTAGATGTTTCATTACCCAAACTAGATAAGATCATTAGTGCTAAACCGAAAGCTGGGGTTTTCTTTCAGTTTATATTCTGTGGCTTGCCCTATTGGTGATTGTGGAAGTGGTCTTGGAGGTTGTTTGGTTTGGCTGTTTAATATTAGTTTGTTTGTCTTACATCCCAGTGTACACCACATAATACAGAAACCAGATTAAGAGAATCTCAGGGACCTCACCAAGAAAGGCCAAATTACCAAACAGGAACAGTGGCAGATGAGAAGCGGTGGACCCATCCTCCCACACTTCTATGGATGACCCAAAATATATAAGCCTAATATACCTTTCCACCCAATTGTATCATTGCTGGGGACCCCTATCTAAAGAATTAACAAAAAAGCTGGGCACTTCACAAGGGGAAGCAGACAGTCCATTAACTTCCCATTACTGCCTTCAAACAATCAGAGACGTGACTATAGATGAGGACGAAATCATGGTTTCATTTGATGTTACAGCCCTTTTCACTTCAGTAGATCCAGAATTAGTCAAAGAATCTATGATCACATTATTCCACAGCACACTTGACTAAACCATATATTCAAAGATTGAAACACCCAGGATTGTAGATTGTAGATATCATGAACTTCTGCCTAACCACATACTTCCAATTCGATGGAAGACCTATGGGACCATTGCTCTCAGTACGTATAGCGGAGATCATTATGCAAAGTCTGGAAGCCATAGCACTTCCACAAATACAACCAAAATATAGATCAGATATGTAGATGACACCATCACCATAATAAAAAAGACTGTTTAGAGAATACCCTAAAACCCATCAACAACATTCAAAGGAATTCAGTTTATTAGAGAAATAAAACAACTCACTACCTTCCTGGACATCCTGATTAGCAGAGACCATGATGGCAAACTAGAAATACAAATGTAACAAAAACCACCCACACCAAACTGAGTGTTCCACTATCAAAACAATAACCCAACCTCCCACAAGAGAAGCTGTGTAAAAACTATTTGGATGACCACAACTCACTGCAGCAACCCTGAACAACAGAAAAGGAAACAGCATCTATACAACATCATCCAACAAAATGGATATCCACACAACTTTTTCAAAAAGTGTCTGATTGCTCAATTTCCAAAAGCCTGGTACTCTGACAATAAACAATACCTACATACTATGGAAAAAACAAGCCAAAAAGACCAAAGAAAACAATCCCCACCCAGCATCCAGATGAGCATAGATCAATTCCAAAATTAACATCAGACCAACTTTCAAGAAGTAAACAATGCCCCAAACAACCCAATGCCCAACCAAAGAACCTCCAAGACCATTCCCACCACCATTAACAGGGCAAGCCACTAGAACAAGGGTGTCAAGCTTGATTTAATTGAGGGCCACATCAGGGTTGTGTTTGATCTTGGGCCGAGGGGCCATATGGCCGGGGGGCGTGGCCAGCTCGATGTCACTCGTTGAGGCTCCATTTTTTACCATCATGGCCTCCTACAGCCCTCTGCTGGCAAAACGGAGTGCATGGCATCCCTGGGACTCTGTTTTTGCTGGCAGAGGGCTGCAGGAGGCCGTTGCAGCCAAAAACGGAACCCGGGCAGGCCTTGCGCAGCCTCCCTGAGCTCCGTTTTCACTGCAGATGCACTGCAGGCCAGTCCTTCACTGCTTACAGGGCGGCCCTGCGGATCTAAGCACCCTGCGGGCCAGAGCCAGACCCCTGGCCTTGAGTTTGCCACTCCTGCACTAGAATATAAAGTGAGCAAACTCCACTCCTTACTAACATTGATGATGTTACCTAGTTTGGATAATGACATGTCTGCAAGAAAACAACCAAAATCAGAGCACCAAGGACCCCTTATTTCAAACCTGAACTACAAATATTCTCCTTTATTAGAATCAACTATTTTCCAAGGTTTCAGTGTTTTCAAGTAATAACTCTCTATTTTTGCCCATAATTTTGGCTATTCTGATTTTCATATCCCTCCTCCAAATCCTAGCAATTAACATGGAAATCCAAATCATGTAGTTGAAAAACTGAAAAATTAAAGCACCCTTGTTGATATAGTAGTTTTAACTTGGAGAAAATCTGCAAGTTCTATAACTATCATTAGCTTGTAAATCTATATAAGATATGTAATTGGAATTAATATGGTTATCCTTTATTAATCATGATATAGTATTAAAAAAACTTACTATATTTAGTATCTTTGAACAGGGTCAATTACAGGTAGTTCTCGACTTATCACCACAATTGAACCCAAAATTTCTGTTGTTAAGTGAGAATTTGTTAAGTGAGTTTTGCCTCTTTTTACGATATTTCTTGCCACAGTTGTTAAATTAGTAATCTGGTTGTTAAGTGAATCTGGCTTCCCCATTGACTTTGCTTGTCATAAGGTTGCAAAAGGTGATCACATGACCCCGGGACACTGCAATGGTCATAAGTATGAAACAATTGCCAAGCATCTGATACTGGGGATGCTGCAAAGGTTATAACTGTGAAAAACAGTCATAAGTCAATTTTTTCAGTGCCGTTGTAATTTGAACAGCAACGAAATGAACTGTTGTAAGTCTAGGACAACCTGTACTCTAATGTTCTTGGTTATAGGTCATTGTGCCAATCCTTTCATGGTCAAGTGACACAAGGACTCCAGTAATAGATGATCCTGAGAAATTTCCTACACAATTGTCCATAATTTGCAAATATTCTCCTTTTAATAATGAAGATGAATTGATGAAACAGTTTAATGCCATTTATGGAAAAACAGGTGAATTTACCATTTAAATATTAAATCCACATATGCCAATATTGCTCTGTGATCATTGCCTTAAGCAGTAGCATGAATACTGTGAACTGGACCAAGGCACGCAGCAGAAGAATTAATATGGGTCAATTGAGATTGTAGCAATTAGCAAAACAAAACAAAAAAAACCCCAATAAACTAAAGATAGAGGCACTATTGTTTCAACACTGAAACAGACAATGGCTGCAATTAGTAGATAGATATTTTTCCAGCAATTAGCAAGTGCAATAAAGAATTTTAAGTTGATCCTTAAGCATCTTCAGAACTTCACAGATACCTCTCTGGAACTCTTACCTGTAAGTTATGCCTGCACCTCCTTAGAATGGAATATAGACTTTAAAATTGGAGAGAAGGCATTCTGCATATCCTGAGTCCATCAGTATCTTGAGAAATTGGAAACATTAGTCAGTCTGTATGTTCTTTACAGCAAACCAATTTTCAGTTGCTGTGTGCGTGTATGAAGGCCCTCATTTGTTGTTGACTAACACCAATGTAAAGAAAACTTCCAGCCTAGAGAATAATTAAAGGAAAACTAAAAATGGTCTTGCAGATTATGTAGATTTAATAATTGACTTGGAAGGCCATGTTTCGATTACCCATTTAAAGCAAATTCTAAATAAAATTACTTTTAAATAGAAATTAATGTGCCTTTTTTTTTTCAATTTAAAAACAAACTTGATTGAATTTAAAAATATTAACAAACAAAAACAAAAAAAAGAGAATATACAAATTTTCTCTCTCTTAAAATTTACATTTTCAATCCATAATTACACTAACAAACTAAGTACATATGATTATATAAAACACATATATACAAATTAATGTGCCTTTCTACTACAACTAAAACAGAAAATGTATTTTCTGAATAATGTATTTTATATTTAAAAGACCCTTGTGATGACTTCTTTTTTGTGTTTTCCCTATAAATGTGCACAAAGTGGTATACTTCATAAATTTATATACATGCTTTTCAGTGACTAGTGTAAGATCTAGCTGAACAAATTTTACGAGAAAGATGTATAAATCCCCATTTTATAATGATAGCAGGAGGACTGTATAAAAAAATGATGCTGATATTGGTTTTACTGTCAGAAGCCACTTTGGACTCCAAGCATTCTGTTTCACATATTACCGGAATAACAGAATTCTGTTTTTCTGGTGATAACAAAATTAGTGTCTTCTATTGTATATTCTTAAAAATTGAGTTGCATCCAAAGAGAGGCACCTTAACATAGAGTACTCAAGTATCCATACATAGATAGTTTGGAAAAAAGATAAGCTATTGTAGTTATCCCTTATAGTGAATCTTCACTGACATTGCAAGATATTTTTGGGGGGGGAGGAAACCAATACAACCTGTTATTTACATATTCATACCTAGGAACTCTGCTTGTGATATACAATCTGAAACTTGCATTGAATGGGGAGCCAGAACTTGATATTCTAACAGATGAGAAGGATATATTGACTGATAGGATCTCAGAGAAGTAAGTTATTATGAAAAAGAAAGAATGACTTAATATTGTGCAAGCTAATTTTTTTTGCAAGCAAACAAATGTGTTATGAAATCTGATATCTACAGATCACATATGTATTACGTATCTATTTGAAAGTTAGATTCCTAAATTCATTCTTTCCATAGAAATTTCTGCTCATCATAGTACTAGACATTTTTTGAAAATATATTCACTAAACACTTTTTATTATCTTGGAAAAATAAACATAATCTCAAATTATTGGCAGTGTTGCATCTTGCTGTTTAGCCAAGCATATGAAGAATATTTTTGTTCTTAGTTGCCTCCAGTATGTTCTTTCCAAAATCCAAAAAATGTTTTATATGCCTTTCTTGGGAAGGAATTGCACAGTTTTTCTGACTGCTTTGTATGTTTTCTTTTACATTGATAATACACTAAATTGTCTCTATCCAGTACAATTCTCTAATTGAAACTTATTTGACCTTAAATGTTTTCTACATTTCTACACCAGCTATCCAGAAGAAAAATCACTGAGAGCTTATACAGCTATATTGTATCTCAACCCACGAATGAGGATATTCATTCAAGCTGAGAAAGTCCAAACCAAGCATTTGCTTTTCTGTTTTTACAGGCCCAGGTGAGTCAGCTTTGCTTACAGTTATAAAGGCACACATTTAAATGTTCAAAGCAATGTGAAAGCATTAGATCATCACATTACAAAAAAGATGTTGAGACTCTTGAAAAAATGCAAAGAGAAGAGAAACTAAGATGATTAAAGGCCTGGAGACAAAAACGTATGAAGAACGGCTGTAGGAATTGGGTTGGCCAGTGTAGAAAAAAGAAGGACTCGGGGTAACATGATAGCAGTATTCCAGTATTTGAGGGGCTGCCACAAAGAAAAAGGGGTCAGTTTGTTTTCCAAAGCATCAGAAGACAAGACAAGAAACAATGGATGGAAACTAATCAAGGAGACAAGCAACCTGGAATTAAGGAACAACTTCCTAACAGTGAGGACAATTAACCAATGGAACCGCTTGTAGGTGCTCCATCACTGGAGGTTTTTAAGAAGAGACTGTACAACCATCTATCTGAAATGGTAGAGGGTCCTCCAAGGTTCCTTCCAGTCTGTTCTGATTGATTGATTGATTGATTAACTTCTTTGGCCCCAGTGACGAACTGATTTTGATTTAGAATGATTCATAATCTAAGACAAACTAAAATCATTCTAACAGTAAATCAGCTGTGACCTAGAATTTGGAACACTTTAAATCAGATAATCCCTTTAGCAACAGAGATAGGCTTTAACACTTTAAATCAGATAATCACTTTAGCAACAGGGATAGGTTTTATTTGGTTTACTCTTATTGCTTTGAATTCTATTTTACTGAATGTGGTTTAGAAATGTTTCTGAAAGAATACTGCTAAATAATGCAAATTTCATATTTTGTTTTATTTTCTAATGAACCTCTAATATTATAATACTGTCACTTTCTTAGGTAGACCAGATAGGAAACATGAACAGATTAACTAATTTTATCTTACTTAAGGCTACGTTAACAGAATCTTGAAAGTCTCAAAGTACATATCTCTGGCTCTTTACAAATCTGAGAAGTTATGGTGTCTCCTTTCTTAGTCTTTTTGTCTAACCATTAAGTAGCTATGACTCTTAGCTATCTATTCCCTAGGCAGCATTTCTTCACCTTCTGTCTCAAGGTCTTTCTCATTTAACTCAGTGATGGGCTGCTACCGGTTCGGGCAAATCGGTAGTTGCGACCTGCAGGTGGGTCACCTGCCACGGTGCTATGCTGTCCTATTTAGCCACGTTTTTTAAGCCATGCTCATGTGTGCAAGGCGCATGTGTGAGCAAAGGGCACGCACTCACATTTTCAGTGCTGGGCAAACCGGTTGTTAATTCATGTGCCGCCCACCTCTGATTTAACCATCACAAATACATCATGGATTTTAGTAATTAATATCCTGGAACTGGTTATGGTGAGTGAGGCTAAAACCTGGTCCATTTCTGATTAATCTTGAGGCTGAAAACTATAAAGTGAAAGGAGAAGTATGTGCCATATAATATAATCGGCACCTTGAATGATATCACTAAGCATACTGAGACACAAGGCAGCCTGGGTATCAGCAGTGTAATCTGGGAAAATCTTGGTGATTCCAGAACTGCATCTGTTGACCAGTTGAAACTTCACCTATATCAGATTACATGAGAATTTCCATATAATATTTTTGACAATAATACTGGTTTGCCATTGCTTGACTTCCAAATTCAGACACAATTGGTCAATAGCACTGTAAAAGCACTTTTGTATTATGTCTTGATAAGTAATAGTATAAATTTCTTTATTAGCTGTCAGTCTGGTCTTGTGTTTAACATTTCCTAAGATAGGTGATATAGGTAGTGATAATCACTAAAATTATAATATTTTCCATATCTTCTGGAGATTAATGTCTCAGAGCGATCATATATCCAGTACTACAAAAAGCTTGTGTGTGATCTGACTCAATGAAACATAATCGTACACATGTTTTTAAGATCATGATTTATTGATATTATGAATTTCAAGGATAGAGGATAAACTATCCACTGATCTCTCAGATCTGCCTGTTTGAAAAATAATCATTTAATCTTATGTGAGAACAACAAATTAAATATTTTAACTAATTCCATGGTAGCTGGCCAGGCTGACTTCTATGTTTTGCAGATATAATCATTTTAGAGAGAGAGAAAACTGAAACCCACTTCACAATATTTGTTGGTTTCAAATCCTGCTTCAGTTATGGACTATGAGGCTGGCTTTTGAAGGCCTCTAGAAATTCCTCAGAAATTTGGCATACTGTAGGAAACTTGTCTTCATTCTTCTCTAAACAATTATGTAATGTAAATGGTAAATCTGTGGACAATTCTACAGATATCTTCATTTATGCATAAAGGGAATTTTATATTATCATGTATTTGGAGCCCTGATAGCGCAGTGGTTAGAGTGCAGTATTTCAGGCAAACTCTGCCCATAGCCTGGTTTTCGATCCTGATGGGCCTCAGATTGACTGAGTCTTCCATCCTTCCAGGTCGATAAAATGAGGACCCAGATTGTTGGAAGCAATAAAATGACATTGTAAACCGTCAAGAGACTGCTGTAAACCACTATGGGGCAGTATATAAGTCAAAGCGCTATTGCTATTGTGCATATATCCCATGCAATAAGTAAAATGTATAGAAATATTGGGAAAAGGAATAAACAAGACATGGTTCTCCAAATGCATAGAAAGCCATAAATACCTTCACCTGTATAATGCAAACAATCAAGGCTTAATTTACAGCATTGTTGTAAATAAGATACATGCTTTTGTGTGTGTGTGCTTTTGACTCCTGGCAATTGTCTGGTCCCTACAAGATTTTGGAAGTAGTTGGCATTCCTGCCTCCTAGGTCTGAAAGGGATTGGCTCAAAGTTATCCAGCTGGCTCTGTGCCTAAAGTAGGAGGAGCATTCACAGTCCTGGTTTCTACCCAGTGCCTTAACCATTACACCAGACCGGCCCTTGTATGCATACTAATTCTGTGAAATTCATGTTTTATGTTTTAATAGGATGTATCCATATATATCATCTTCATTCAAACAAATTGCCACTCGTGAATTACAGAAGGCACAAATGGAACTCAAGGCTGGTATGCAGTATCCAAGATAGATAGATAGATAGATAGATAGATAGATAGATAGATAGATAGATAGATAGATAGATAGATAGATATTTTGAATGTTTAAGTTGGGGGTTTTTTACAGCATTATTTTTTCCATAACAATAAAGAAAAATAGTTGATAGACATTTCCCATTGTGAGGAGAACCTTTGCAACTACTGGGATAAGCTTTTAGGCTTTTAAAAACTTAGGAACTTCTTTAATCCCTTAGTTGTTTGAAACTTGCCTATTTTTTTTTTTACCCTCAGGGAAAAAATAGTATGGGCTAAAGAGAAATCACTGCATCTTTTGGGAAATCAGTAGCTAATATGTCTGAATAATAGAATACAAAAATGTTATTTTTAAAATATAAGTTGCAAATAAGAGAGAATTGCAAGTGAAAAGTAAATGTCACAAAATATGCAAAATGGAAAAGTTTCATTTGTTTTACTTTGGCTTCTCACCTCTACAAAACTAACTTTGAATTGAATCCAGGCATGTTCAGAGATAAATTCCAATGCAGGAAGATCTTTTGTGATACCCCTGTTCATTAAATTATCATAAATCAGGTGCCAACTAGAGTTTCAATAGTTTTGCTTTGTATGTCACATAGATTGAAGAAGCATTTCTCTCAAATAGTTTAACAAATTCTTTTGCTTATGCTTGTAGCTGAAAATGCTGTGGCAGATGTAAAAGGCAGACTAAAACAACTTTCCTTGTCTGAAGATAGTGAGGTATTGAACCAGGAATAACATTTATATTATATTTATCTGAAGTTTTCTTTTCAGAGATCATTATCCATTTTGGTATCCCCAGTATAAGGCTCACTGAAATGAATTGGAGTAATAAATATGGAATTGGAGAAGTGAGACGAACACTTCTCAGTATTACATTGGCTTGTAGATAGCTATATTCCAAAAAATATTTTCTATGGTTTTCAGTATACCTGTATGTATTGCTTCTTTAAATGCACATTTATACTATTTTGCGGAACCTGCAATTTTTGCAAGCAAGATTCTGATATGTCTTTGGATACATATATGTTATATATAAATGTATACAATTTTTATTTGAAAAACTATTGCAAACTTCATAGAAACTCCAAAAGCCAACATGGGTTTGTCAGAAACAGATCATGCCAGACTAATCTTATTGCATTCTTTGACAAAGTGGACCAGAGGAATGCTGTCAATATAATTTATTTGGACTTCAGTAAGGCATTTGATAAAGTAGACCATAACCTACTACTAGATAAAATAGAAAAATGTGGGTTAGATAGCATTACCACCAGATGGATTCGTAACTGGCTGACCAACTCAACGTGTGGCCTCAATGAAACTGCATCTGCATGGAGGGAAGTATGCACTGGGGTACCCCAAGGCTCTGTTGTAGGCCCAGTACTCTTCAACATCTTCATCAAAGATTTGGAAGAGGGGATACATGGGGAACTCATCAAATTTGCAAATGACACCAAGCTAGCAGGATTAGCCAACACTCTGGAAGATAGGCTTAAGATTCAGAAGGATCTTAACAGAATTGAACATTGGGTGCTATCTAACAAAATGAAATTCAATGGTGAAAAAAGTAAGGTTCTACATTTAGGCAAGAAAAACAAAATGCACAGGTACAGTATATCTGGTATCTCACTCAGTAGTAGTAACTGTGAGAGGGATCTTGGAGCCGTAGTGGACAACCATTAAATATGAGCCAGCAGTGTGCAGCAGCTACCAAAAAAGCCAACACAGTTCTAGGCATAAACAGGGATAGAATCAAGATCATGTGAAGTGTTAATACCACTTTATAATGCCTTGGTAAGGCCACAATTGGAATACTCCATCCAGTTTTGGTCATCACGATGTAAAAAAGATGTGTAGAAAGAGTGCAGAGAAGAGCAACAAAGATAATTAGGGGACTGGACGCTAAAACATGAAGAACGGTTGCAGGAACTGGATATGTCTAGTTTAATGAAAAGAAGAACCAAGGGTGACATGATAGCAGTGTTCCAATATCTCAGGGGCTGCCACAAAGAAGAGGCAGTCAAGCTATTCTCCAAAGCACCTGAGGGCAGCACAAGAAGCAATGGGTGAAAACCAGTGGTGGGTTGCTACCGGTTCTCTTTTGCGATCGCGCGCAAAATGTGTGCGCGATGTGAACCGGTGGTAAAACTGATTAGAACCCACCACTGGTGGAAACTAATTAATGAGAGAAGCAACCTAGAACTAAGGAGAAATTTCCTGACAGAACAATTAATCAGTGGAACAACTTGCCTCCAGAAGTTTTAAATATTCCAACACTGGAAGTTTTTAAGAAGATATTGGATAACCATTTGTCTGAAGTGGTGTGGGGTTTCCTGCCTAGGCAGGGGTTTGGACTAGAAGACCTCCAAGGTATCTTCCAACTCTGTTATTCTGTATTAACCCTTAAATTCATAGAACTGTGAATTTAAAGATTTTGAGTTTCAGTCAAAAAGGTATAATTAAATGATTCTATATATTTTTTTATTTTATATTTACCTTTTATTTACAAATATGCTGCTAATTCCCAAATGGTTTTGGGCAGCTGATCACATAAAAAAAAATATGGATAAACCTCTAACCTTCTATAAACTCAAAAAGGCCTAGATAAAGTAAAGTGGTGATAAGGATATTTTATATTTACTAGAGAAGGCTGTACCCTGAAATATAAAAGAGAATTTTACTATCAACATTAGGTGCCTGAGGTATACAAAAGTTATTCTTTTGAAGACATGAGGCATGGAGCAGACTATATGGGTCCAGGCAATTAAATCATGTAAGGAAGTTTACACTAAAGTAAATACTTTGATTTGCTTGGGAAATAATCAATTCAATGTAGTAATACTCTACATGTGAGATGTGACATCTCTTTGAGCAGTTTTATTCACCATGTGGTCTGCTATGTTTAGGTCAGGTGCAAGGGCTGTGCGCAAAGACCATGTTGCAGTAATCCAACTTTGGAGGAATTATATGTGTATCACTGGAGCAGATTTCTCTTTACAAGTAATACACAACTGGTTTCTCCATTATGCTTGTTACACAATCTGTGAAGCCAGCAGTTTGAATAGAAAGCGGGGAGGAGGGGCGAGGGGAGCATTATTTTTAAAACTATAACCATCTATCAGTAATTAAAGGGATTGATACTCTTGATCAGTATTGTTGCAACTATATCAAAATATATTAGGAATTAGATTAGTTTTTAATCTATGCTCTACAATATCTAAGACAATTTCTGTTTGCTTTAAAAACATAAGGTAACACAAATTCTAAGAGAAATACGGCCAAAATTTTAAAACACTGTGAAACATCAACATAAACTACATTCATCCTTGCTTCCTGATTGGGTTAGTTAAGATAGTTAGATAGGTTAGTTGCTGAAAAATAAAGGCTATTAACATTGTTAATTCCAGTTTATTGAAGTTTGCCTGCCATGACCTTTAAACATTAGGAAAATTTTTCACATCTTGTTAATTGCCTGTTTACTATTGCCAAGTTTTCACTGAGCTATCTTAGCTTTATTTTCATTTATTTTTAAACAATGTTAAGAAAGCAGTTTTCATTTTGGATTTCATCATGGTAATTGAAGCCTAATTATACCTCTCTAAATCATTATTTATATTCTTTGGGAATAATCCTGTTATTAATCCCTACTGTGCTGAATTTTTATGCTTAAAGACCTGTGACTTCTAATAATTCAAAGCTTCCAGCTAAATATATGTAGTGTCCACCATCTGCTAGGTTCTATACATAAATAGTCTTACATACTCAAAGTCAAGAAAGTAAAATACTTGTGTTAATTAACAACTAAAATGTCCTATGAACCTTTCTGATGGCCAGTCTACTAGAAATATTATTCTAATATAATGGAAGTTCCATTGCTTTTTGGCAGTTTTACATGAGGAAATGCCAAATACAGTCCCTTTCATCTTCAATTAAAAGGATAAAGGGATTCTTTAGCTAGATTATTAGTGCTAACATCATACATCCATATGCAGCATGGGTTGATTTTGTATTTATATATTTGTAGCAATTACATACGTAACCTACTCAAGCAACTCTAAGCTTTAAAATATTAGTTATAATGCCTTAAAACATTGCATCCTAGCATTTTCAAAACTTTTCTGTGGTCTTCCAAATTCAGTCTTCCAAAGCTCTGTGGAAAATAGAAAAGATGAAGGGACAATTCTCAAAGGATAAGTTGTTCCTTGTGAGGCGGCTGCTTCTGAGAATGTAATTTTCAAAATTCCCTCTCTTCTTGTCTCTTTAGGGAAAGGTACTGGCAACATCCTCTCCCAGCTAGATAGGGTAGGATAGGCAAATTCTAATAGAGGAAATGATTCTGAAGAACAAGCTCAGGTATGACCTTGGAGGACAACTCTGCTAGCCAAGATTTTTGTGGAGTAGATGCAGGTAGTATTCTCAACAGCTAAGCATCATTAGGGTTTGGAATTTAAAAGTGAGGGCTATTTTTCCTCCTCTATTACTGAGGGAAATAAGACTGAGCCAGAGAGAGGGGAAAGATGGAAATACATGTTGCTACATTTGAACCTGTGCCGCTCTGTGTCATGAAGGCAGTTAAGTGCTTTGAAGTGACTATGAGGTAAATTGGTGGCTGGAGGGACATTGTGTGATTATGCTGAGTCACTTGAGTGGGCAGTTGCTGTTTCCTGATCCAAGAGGGAGAATATTTTAACTGAAGGCTTCCCAGGGAGAAGATAAATGAAGAACCAGACAAAGAAATGCACTTTACCCCAAAACCAAGGTAGAAGGGAACAGAAAGATGCTGGAGCCCTCCAGGAAGCCAAAAATGGCCGTGGAAGAAGACCTGGAGGGAAATATGTTCAGCAACAAGCTGTTGAGAATTGAAAAAGGATGGATCAAGGTTTAAAGCCCAAGACTTTGCAACCAGTTGCTCAATGATTATTTAAAGTTACTACAGACTTGAAAAATATTATTTATCACCCGTCTTTGAAGTTTCAATTGCCTCACCTCCCTCTCCTCCTCCCCCCCCCCACAGAGTCACATGATTGAAATTTGGGCACTTAGTAACCAGTTCACACTTATGGCCGGTTACAGCATTCCACAGTCATGTGATTGCATTTGGTGACATTTTTGCCACTTTGCGGCAAAAAAAGTACCCATTGGATAAGCTGGATTCTGATTTATGACCACCATATTCATTTAACAGCCATGGTGAGTCACTTAACAACTATCATAAAACAATCATAAAATCAAGTCCGGTCACATTACAATCACAATGTTTTATGACCAAAATTCTGGGCTTATTTGTGATTGTAAGTCAAGGGCTACCCATTGTCAAAAGCTGGAAGAGGATGGGAGAAAAGGAGAGATGGAAAATTGGTACGTAAACAGCAGAGTAAGTAGTTGCTACCAAATACAGTAGCTTTAGAAGAGAAATGGGGGGGGGGAGTCCTTTGAGAGATAGGACAGATGGAGAAACTTTGGATAAATTGCTGTATCTGGATTTTTCCTAATTTCTGTATAGAAATTTCTCTACACTTGAAAAACAAAAGAAAACAGCTTCCATGGTCTCTCTAGCAATTGGGTTTTTTAAAAAGTCCTATGCATCCCCAGCCATAAAACTACCATCAGTCACTCTTATCCCAAAAAGGAGTGAAGTGCATGAGAATTCTTAAGTCCTAAAAAATTGCGATTTTTCTTCTTTGATTGTTATTGTGCATGCTTCCTCCAAAATAGAATGAGGTTCTAATTTAATTTATAGGTTGCATCAGTGGTGAAATGCAAATTTTTTTGCTACCGGTTCTGTGGGCGTGACTTGGGGGGGTGTCATGTGGTGGATGTGGCCAACTTTTTTTTTTTACTTTTTAAAGCATTTTTTACTACCTATTCGCCTGAACCAGTAGTAAAAAAATGCTTTAAAAAGTTTTTAAAAGGTTCTGACAATCACAGCTGTGCCGCACGATCCTCGGAATCCTTTTTTTTTTTTTTTTACTTTTTTAAACCATTTTTTTACTACCAGTTCGGGCAAAAAAAGATGCTTTTAAAAAGTAAAAAAAGTTTTTTAAAAAGATTCCGACGATAGCGCAGCACAGCTGTGATCATAGGAACCTTTTTTTTTTTTTTACTTTTTAAAGCATTTTTTTACTACCGGTTTGCCCAAACCGGTAGTTTTTATCACTACCAGTTTGCCCAAACCAGACCGGACCAGTAGCATTTCACCCTGGGGTTGCATTCTACAAATTCAAAGCAACATCTAAGAATGAAATTTGCCCAATTTGCTACTTAATTTACAAGCTAAAGTAGAATGAAATGCTACCTATGTATCCTTTAGTTTAACCTAAAGCAGATAACCTTTTTGAAGCCGAGAAATTAAAAGGGAAACAGTGGTTTCTGGTAGAATTTGAGGGACTAGATATGTCTACTTTATGTTTTGGATTTTAGATTTAATATATACTCCAACCACAAAAGGCAGGAACTGTATCATCGATGTACAACTGATGGTTGTAGCTTTCCTATCCCTTCTTTATCCTCAAACACATTCATTCATAAACAATGAAATAACTTCTTTTTCCTTTCTGATATTTTGGGGAAAAAGTATTTGCAAGTTGTGTTACGAGAAGCTCTGGAGGAAGAAAAGACAGTAAGAGAAAAAAATGAAGAGAAAAAAAGGCAAGTTAAGACATACAATAATTTACTTTTTTGAAAAGGTATTGCAACTGAAGAAAATCAAAATAGTTTACCTTATATCACAAATAGTTGTAAAAATTAGTTCTAGAGCCAAACTAGTTAACATAGCTTTGTTGTATTTTCACAATTCTGCAGATATTGCAGTACATCTGAGACCAATAATTATTCAAATTAAGTGTTAAAAATAGCCTCAATTTCTTTATTTCAGTTTTTGCAATTTACACAAATGGATAATGTCTCTTTGTAGCACCTGTTTGGAATCTTTTAGTTTACACAATTGTTTGATGGGAGCACAATCATTACATGTTCAACACCATCTAGATATGGGTCCTGCTGAGCTTCATAATTAATGACATATTTTTTGGTCTCTTTAGCATTTTTTTCAGATTATTTTTATTATTTTTATAAATAACTCAAGGCATTGAACCTATGTAATACTCCTTCTTCCTATTTTTCCTACAACAACAACAACAACTCTGAGATTAGTGGAGCAAAGTGACATTCGTGAGCAGCTTTCCTAAAGCTGTACTGGAATCCTCAGTTTCTTAAATGTCATTACCCAGTGCTCGGTTTTTCTCCATTCCTACAGTTAACACATTGGTATAGTATTCCAGCATTCTTTCCAAATGGTACAGAACTAGTATACCAGTTAATCCAAAAGGCTATGGCTTCACACCTCTTAATTCCAGTGCTTCCAATCCTGCTGAAGATAGCAAGAGACTCCTGGGCCAAGCTAGAATCTCTGCCATTGATGTTTCACTATATATATTGTATGTATGTATGTATGTTACGTATATACAGTATATAGAAAGAGGGGGGCGGTGCAAGTGCATGGGTATGTATTAAAAGAAGAGAAAGAGAGGATTCTCCCCACCCCACCCCCTCTTTATTTTGTTTCTCTTTAGAAATCTGAGAAGACCAAAAAGACTATTTATAATATTTGGAATAAACATTCAAAACAGAAGTCAAGATGGAATGCTTATCTATAGCAATAATCGCTTGATCAGAATGTTCGAGAAATTGGGATCACAGAAAAACGTAGGACCATTGTAAGTTTTCTTCTTTAAAATGTAAGAATCACTTTTCTGTATCGCTGAAAAATATTTTATTTATTTTTATTGATTTAAATAAATACATTTATTTGATTTCATTGGATCGGTTATATGCAAAATTCTGATTATAAATAAAAATTATAAAGAATTATTTTTTTAAAAAAAACTGAGCACAGAATTTCTGAACTTTGTTATAAATAAAAGCATTTAGGACTAAAGTCACGACCCATTGTTTCATATTTAACACCCATTTTGATCTCCACAGTTTTAGTGCTGGAGCTGTGGGAATTATAGATGTACCATTAGACGTTATGGAACCCACACACAACAAGCAGGCTTTTGCCAACATTAAGGAATACAGGCACTTGCTGAAATCAATGGAAAACTATCTTATTCAATACTGGAAGGACATGGGGATAAGTAAGTAGTCACAGTTGAAGATGATTTGCACCACCATTCGGTAAAGGTAAAGGTTCCCTTCACACATATGTGCTAGTCATTCCCTACTCTAGGGGGCAGTGCTTATCTCTGTTTCAAAGCCAAAGAGCCACTGCTGTCCGAAGACGTCTCCATGGTCATGTGACCTGCATGACTAAATGCCAAAGGCGCACAGAACGCTGTTATCTTCCCACCAAAGGTGGTTCCTATTTTTCTACTTGCATTTTTTATGTGCTTTCCAACTGCTAGGTTGGCAGAAGCTGGGACAAATAACATAAATAAAGAAATAAGTAAATAAAGGAAAGAGGTAAGCACCACCATAGCCTCATGTTATTTCTGTTAAGACACTTTGCCTCAGTGAGACACTTGAGGGCCTATATGAGACTCAAAGTCATGCACACCAGCCCTGATGCCATCTTCTTACTCCTTTTCCACATTTATCAAAGAACATTTTTACTTGTAATTCACTTGAAGGCAAGCAGGAGCCCTCATAGAATGGGGAAATTAATAAGGCAGAAAAGAGAAATCATTTCTGATTTTGCCCCCTCAGTGTGGGGAAATGGAGGGGAGGAAAGGCAGAAATAATATTTCTGTAATATTCAAGTAATATATAATGTCTCCTTGAATGTAGATATACAGAATACCAGTAATGTAATATAAAAAATTACTACATGGAATATCTATTTTGTTAGTATTATTAGTATTAGTATTATTCAGAACTTATATTACTCGGTTATGTGAAATAGGCAGGGGTAGAATTCAGGGGTGAAATCTAAAAATTTTCGCTACCGGTTCTGTGGGTGTGGCTTAATTAGTGGGCATGGCTTGGTGGTCAGGTGACTGGGTAGGCGTGGCTTGGTGGTCAGGTGGGCGTGGCCAAGTCAACGTCACTTCTTTGCCCTTTTTTTAACCTACAAAACACAACACAACTGGCTCACCCACAACCTACAAAACACAACACAACAGGCTCACCCACAATGTAAAAGCAGCTGTGCTAGACCCAAAATGGCCCCTGCAACAAGCAGGAACCGCACACAGCCACAAAAAGTCCAAAAAACCAACTTTCACACTTTACACACACAAAATTTCACATACAGCTTTGTGAGATTTTGTGTGTTTGTGTAGTTAGAATGAAACACTACAGAAACATGCAAAATCTCAGAAAGCTGCACAAATATTATTTTATTTTATTTTTATATAAAAGCAGCTAAATTTAAAACTTCCTAAACTTTAAATGGCTAGGTCTAAAAAAGGAACAACTAAAAAAAACCCCAATTAACTATTTTTTTTAAAGCTCCCAAAGGAGAAAAAAAACTTGCAGGCAGGCAGGCAGATAGAGCTGCTCACCGATGAGCTTGATTGCAGGCAGGGAGATTCAGTTGCTTGCTGATGCAGTGGATTGCAGGGATTACAGCAAGCGAAGCAAGGCAGGCGTGCAAAGGTAAGCAAGCTGGAGGCTCCGGGGGGGAGGGGGGAGGGATTTTTGCTACCGGTTCTCCGAACTGCCCGCCACCATTGCTACCTACTTGCCCGAGCCGGTCCGAACCGGGAACATTTCACCACTGGTAGAATTACCTTGTTTCTTCTGAAAGATCACTTATTTTGGCTCCTTTATAGCCAGCAGTCTGTGGCTCCACTATTTCTATCAGGCTGAACTGTTAATATCATAACTGGTTATGATAAAAATAGGAAACGCTTTTGGTGATTGCTAGATGGTATTGAGATAGGTGAGTCACAAATAAAGGATCTGGTGTCTATCCTATTGGATGATACTGACAGAGTCACCACCTGATCTGTCCCCGTCCACACACACACACAAACACAGCCAGCCGAGGGTTAAGGAAACACTTTGGAACGCACCCAGTTTCTTTATCTCCGACTTGGCAGCGATAGACACACCGTCTGCCAAGTGCCTTTATTTTCACAGAAAAACAGACAGATAAAATACTCAGCTTCCAAATGTCCGACAACAATAATTATTTCTCTCCGCAGTTCCGAACGAGGCTTTAGTGACTATCCAAGGTTAGTTTTGTTTGTCACAAGGATCACTGACCACTACCCTCTATTATATAGTCTCTGGGGTGTGGTCCAGTGACTCAGTTCTAATCCCTAGCACGCCTCCTAAGCTGCTGCAATCGTTTATCACGCCTTCGGAGGCGTGCGTCCAGGAATGATGTTTCTTCGTCACTCTGATCCGAGCCACCTGTCTCCCTGCTAATCTCCTCTCCCTCGGCCGGCACCTGAGACAATGCCAGAGGGGAGGGGCCTGGAGAGGGAGACCTGGCTGACTCCTCTTCCTCATGCTCGGAGCTTTCTTCCTCCGATGGGACAGGCTCAGAGGGCAGGGCCACAACACCACCTTGCCTGTTTTAACATTCCCCACCCCGTCCTCACCTAATGCACTGAGTCCTAACATATAGTAGATGTTTCCTATAATGCTAAGCAAGCAACATTGTTCCTTTCCTGGTGAGACATAACTCTGCCAGAATTTGAATCCCCGAACTCTCAGTAATTTACAAGATCAGCATAGGATGAATGGTACTGTGGGAGAAAGAACAGGTAAAAATTAGAATTTTTGAGAGAGAGTGAAATAGAGAAAGACAGAAATAGAGCAACAATTTGATGTAATGGTTAAAGGCACAAAGCTTCTATAAATTTAGACATAAAGCTGGCTAGCTGACTTTGGGCTAGTCATTTTCCTCATCCCTGGGAAAAAGCTCTGGAAAACCACTTCCAAAAATGCTGCTAAGATATGCTGTCCAGACTTATCTTGGCCATCACCAGGAATCAAAACTGACTTGAAGGCACAATCTTCTTCCCCCACCATTTTTTTTATGACTTGTATTATAAATTCAGCTGGATAGATCCAGGTTTTTACTTAACAAGTTGTAGTGACAAGATTATTATTGTTGTGAAGACGCAATTATAGAAGACCTTTACTTATTTCATCTTAAGCCTCTACAGGAATACCTATGAAATTTATAAATAAAATGCAGGTAGATTGTGGTCGTTTTGTATGTTGTGTAAGAGACTTTAGAATTCGTGAGATCAAGCTGGAAATAGGGTAGGATAGGGTAGGATAGGATAGGATAGGATAGGATAGGATAGGATAGGATAGGATAGGATAGGATAGGATAGGATAGGATAGAATAGAATAATAGAATAGAATAGAATAGAATAGAATAGAATAGAATAGAATAGAATAGAATAGAATAGAATTCTTTATTGGCCAAATGTGATTGGACACACAAGGAATTTGTCTTTGGTGTATATACTCTCAGTGTACATAAGGAGAATAAAATACATTCATCAAGAATAAAAAGATACACTTAATGATAGTCAAGGTTACTAATAAGCTATCAAATCATACTAGGAAACAAATAAAAACAATATAAATTGAAAGATATAAGCAACATGATTATAGTAATTAGTGGGAAGAGATAGATACTAGTAAGGAAAATAATAATAATAATAATACAGTCTTAGTAAATTATTTGACAGTGTTGTGGGAATTAATTGTTAAGCAGAGTGATGGCATTTGGGAAAAAAATGTCCTTGTGTCTGGTTGTGTCTAATTTGTCTAGTTGTGTCTAATTTTTCAAGTATGCTTGGAAAATTAAGTTATGTTGATTCCCTTTAACTTTGTTAAACCAAACAATTTCAAGATGCTTTTTTTTTCCAATCTAAATAATACTAAATAAGAAAAACAAAAATTATGAACTTGAACTCTATATTTAAGTGCCAGGGTTGCCTTTACACTATTGTGTTCGGGAAAAATTGCTTTTTGACCTGTTCTTGTTCTTGTTCCGGACTATAACCCAGCAATCTTCATAGTTTTCCAAACCAAATTGATCTGATAGAGGTTATGATTGTTTTTTTCACTGCAACGTATAATGTAATATTGAAACTATTTACTTTCTAAGGTCAAAAAGGAGAAAAGTTCTGGAATGATTTTGGATACCTAAGTGACAAATGGTATGAAAAACCTTCTGAGACAGTACAATATAAAAGAAGACGAGCAGCAGAAATTCCTTACATTGTGCAATGTGGTGAGTTTCTATAGCTAGGCAGTTTGAAAAGAGAAAAAAGGAGTAAAGATAGAATTCAGGGAATGTTTCTAAAAAGCCTCTCTTTCCCTTTCAAAGAAGAGAGTTCAAGCTCTCCTCTTCACAGGTGCTGCATACAGCTGTTTTTTTCACTTCCTTCTTCACTGAAAAGATCCTCTTGTAAACACTTCCTTTGTTTCATTTTTGCTGCCTTTAAAAGCAAACTATCAGGCAGCAGATGTAAAAGATTTCCTTCATGTTTTACTATAAAGTTAGCAGCATATAACAAATGTCTTTGTTGGCCTCACAGTGGAATAAAAAGGATTATAGGAAAGTATACTATTTGTTGAGAACTGTTCAGATGAAAAAACCTTTATTTTTTTTTCTTTTAATCTCTACATGTGGTATTCCTGGGGATGTTGAGATGGAAGAGAGATATACAAACAAACTGAATTTTTTAAAAACGTTTGATCTATTTTGAGAAAGGATCTTGTTCAGCCTTATTTTTTTAAAGTGCAGCTTAAGATTCCTTTAATATCTATTTTCCTACCTGTAGTCTATGTAATTCATGAGATTTATGTTTTGCTGTCCAACTTCTGACTTTTATTTGGGCAACCATGTGCCTATATTTTAGCAATCTAGATCTCTAGATCCCACCTTCTCTAGTGGGGAAAAAACATCTCTAGAGTACGTGTACGTGGAGAAGGGAGGCACAAGCACAATTTTAATTGGCTGGGATTGTGAATTAGTTCAAGAAATTGTGTTTTGCATGTGGTGGGTACTATACAGATATGGCTACTATGTCACTAAACTTTAGTAAAGAAATCAGAAGTAGCATAACATGATCCAGAGATTTATGTGATTGCTACTGAGAATTACATGTATCCCTTTTCAATATCTTGGGTACAACTCCCAGAGTATTACAACAAAACTTCTAGATTATAATATGTAAGGTTGTAGAAGGGCAAAATCATTATACATAAACCTTGCTTCACAATCATCCCATTTAGCAACTATTCAAAGTTACAAAGCACTGACAAAGTAATGATCCAGTAAGATATCCTAGAACTGTGATGGTGAACCTATGGCACGCGTGCCACAGCTGGCATGCGGAACCATATCGGTGGGCACGGATTGGAAGTTGAGAAACGAGCCGTTTCCAGCCTCCAGGGGGTGGGGAAGGCCGTTTTCGCCCTCCCCAGGCACCTAGAAAGCTTCTGGAGCCTGGGGAGAGCAAAAAACAGGCCTACCAGGCCATCATGTGCCAAAAGCGGGACAAGTGCAGGGGAGTCGCATGCACATGCACGGGGGCAGGGCACATTGAATTATAGGTGTGGGCACGTGCACGCATGACACTCCTCCCCCCGCGCGCGTGACCCCTTCTTTTGGCACACAACGGCAAAAAGGTTAGCCATCGCTAGAAGAATTGGAAGAAAAGACTTTGCTTCTGGAAGGTGGCAGAGATAGTAGGAGCCACAGAGGGATTGTCCTTGTAGGTTTTACAGCATTTCTAATGAATGTTTAGGTCTGGAATAAGGCTGGGTTTGGTTTGGACCTGGATTTGGATTTGGATGTTAGGGTTGTTCGGGCTCTGTTCTTACGTTCCAGGAAGAGCAGGCTATAGGATAGCCCATGTGTGTTAACCTGGCTGTGCTGATGTAATGTGCATACTACTCTAGACCTGCAGCCCTTCTATGTATTGTGTTTTCTTTGCAACTGGCATTTTTTCCAATGATTTTTGTTTGGTGGGATTTGCCAGTGGCTGTGTTGGAGAGACAGAGGAGTGATCTTAATTGGCTGCCAGACTTAGCTAGCGACCAGTGGCAGTGGTGGATCCAATGTTTCTGAGCTGAGGGAACCCAATTGTACAACAATGATGGAATGTGATCCTGTCAACTGCTGTCAGTGAGAAAGTGATTGAGAACCTTGGATGAAATGGATTATCTGAATCTCTTTCAGTCAGCATTCATACTTGGATATGGGATGAAGCAACATTGGCATACTTAAAAATGATTGCTGAAGAGAGAAGAATGTAGGTTTTAAATTCATTGTTGCCCTACTTGACCTCTCTGCAGTTCTTTATACAATCAACCATGGTATCCTTCTGGATTAGCTCAAGGGATTGGGAGTGAGCACACAATATTGTGCTAGTTTGCTTCTTTTCTCTGAAGTCAATTCCAGTCAGTGGTAATTGGGGGAAAGAGTCCCACATTCAGTCCTTGCTATGTGGGGTGTCATAGTGTTATATGTTATCTCTGGTCCTATTTGACTTTTACAGTAGGCCATTGTGTGACCTCATCCATCACCATGGGATAAGGTATCATCAGTTTACTGATGATATCCAATTACATATTTGTTCCATTGACAAAATATGCTATGCCAGAGCTATCATTCCAGAGCCTGGAGGCTGTAAGGGTCTGGATCAGGAACAATGGGCTTCAGATAAACCCTGGCAAGACTGATTGTCTTTGGATTTGGGGACTTGCCAGTTCTAGCAATATGCCATCCTTGGTGATAGATGGGATTGTGCAGCTCCAAATGGACATTATACACAACCTGGGTCCTCCTGGACTCTTGTCTACTTTTCAAAGAGCAAGTGGCAGTCGCAGTTACAACAGGATTTGCACAACTTCACATTGTGCATCAGTTGCATCCATTCCTAGATTGGACGGCTCTGCTCAAAATTATCTAGTCACATCCCAATAGACTATTCTAATATTCTCTATATGGGGCTGTTTTGAAGAATTTCTAGAAACTTCAGATGATGCCAAATGCAGTTGCATAAGTACTGTGTTTCTCCAAAAAGAAGGCCAGGTCTTATTTTCTTTTAACCCCCGAAAAAACAGCTAGGTCTTCTTTTTGGAGGGTTCTAATTATTGCCTCACCTCGCAGCAGTGGCACTGACAGCCTCGTCCAGCAGGAGCATGCTGCTGGCCTACTTCTTCTGTGGCCACTTGCTGCCACTCGCACGCATCACCCTGGCCTCCGTTTTGCCTTCAGATGCTTGCCGGAAGGCATCTGCAGCTGGTAACAGAGCTCTGGATCAATCCCACTGAAAGCATCTGAAAGCAAAAGGGAGGCTGGGGCGATGCGTGCGAGTGGCAGCAAGTGCCCGCAGAAGAAGGGAAGGCAGGTGTCGGGGTGTGCGAGGCCTGGTAAGTAAGGCAGCTCCACCACCCCCCATCTCCAACCTAGCTTATATTTTACCTGTGTGCCTCGCCCCACTCCCTGCACCACAGGGTGGGCAGGGTCTTAATTAGTGCTCATTTTGTGGGTGGGACTTAATTTGATCGCATGTGCTCAAAAACATGATAGGGCTTCTTTTCAAGGTGGGTCATCATTTTGCAGAAACATGGTAGTTATGTGTGCCTCTAGAATAACACGTTATATAGTATCTCTCTTCAGGGTTACCAGTTTGTTTCTGGGCTTATTCCACAGATCTGGGGAAATATTGCCAGTTCCAATTGTGGTCTATAAACAAGCACTACTAAGTGAGGAAGTAATTAATTACATTAAATGTATTTAGTTAATCTACTTTTAATCTACTTTTAGTCTACCTCTAATCTTTTTTTAATAAAATCTAAATTTAAATTGAATGCAGTTTTTATTCTGGTTGTCCTAACTTCTTTTGGTCTTTTCCCCACTGGCTTTTATTGGAGGGTAACTCATGGCATGTCATTCAAAGACTAAGTGAAATTCAGAGATCTGGGAAAATATGCTCTTTAAATATGTATTTCAGCTCTGAGTAGTATTGCATATTTGATAGTACTTAGTCAGCTTAGGTTTTGATTAATATTTGGATGGAAATCCCAGGCTGAAGCTAGATAAAAAAAGGACAATGGCAAACTGCTTCCGTATTGACTTCAGGGAAACTACACAGGTGTGATTACCAGATGTTGATTTCAACTTGTAGGAAACTACTTTATGCACTCAAATGTTTCTAAGCTAATTTTAGATAACAATAATAATAGTATTATTCTGAAGGAAAAATCCATATCTTAAGTAATATTTTCTGATTTGTGATATAGGTATCAAGTTCCTAATAAAATAAATGATAGAGGTTTAACATTCCACGTAAAATCAACTTTATAATTAATTTTGGATTAATTCTGTTAATTCATTAGATGTTTGCCTCAAATGGAGATTCTTGTCACTTAATACTGATATAGACAATGAAGTTCATCATGACATCTGGAACTGTGGAAGAAGTTCCAACTCTCTAGAAAATAAGTAAGTAGTGATATTACAGTAAATCTGCACTCTTTCACTACCAGAAAAGTTCCTTTCCTCTGCACTGTTCCATTAAGTATGCATGACCCTAATAAGACATCAGCCTTGTAATTATTTTTATATTCATACCAACTATATTTTATGTCTCTGAAGTTTGTTGTATTTATAAATAGTTTATAATACTCAGCTATTTAAGTGTATAATAGGCAAGTTTAACAGCAGTACTTAACGAGCAAACCACTTAAAATATGTCCTCAAGTCATTTTGATAAAAAATATTACTATTATAAACTGACAATGGGAATTGTTGTGAAGAGCAAGTGTTCAAAGAAGCTTCTATTCTTTGTAATTAGCAAAATATTTACCTTTATTGAGTAAATATTCTTGGCTGAATGTTTAAATACCACCAGAAAAGGTAGAACAAAATATTTGGAGCAATATTTATTCAAACATAATAACACAAGGGCATTTAGAAATCATGGAAAGACAACATTAAGATATTAAGTGCACAATATTGTACATCGCTCATGGAACACTAGGTCAGAACAACAAAATATTAGTACAAAACATTTTACATGCAATACTGTACTGTACGCAATAAAATACATTGTCAGCACTTCAAGCTGCGTTTACTCTAGTGCTGACATAAGAAGGAGAAGCGGAGGTGTCTGGAAAGGGACGTTTGACTTTTCACCTACTTATTTTCCCTGGAGATAATATCCCCTAGGAGATGGGATGGAAGGGGGGGAAATTCCTTTGAGCTGGAGCAGTAGATTAGGGGTAGAGTGATTTGGAAGATGGCCAATGAATGCAGAGGAGTGGGGAAAGGAAAGCGAGGGTTTTGGGTCAGGAAGTCAGTGTTGGCTACGATGGAGTCGGAGTTAGAATGTCATGCTTAATAAATGGGAGTTTTTCATCAAAGACTTTGTTTGAAATGCAATTTATTTGAGACGACCTCGAAACCTGACAGACATATTTGACTTGTATTTTCATTTGTTTGTTACTATATATAAAGACATATAAACAACTAAATACACATGCCCATGTTCAATGACCGCGGGCTTAGTCTTTTGTTATGAGTAGCATGGAACCATGTGCAAAGCTGTTCAGCTATCAGTGTCCAAGTCATTTGCAATATCAGGAGGTCCAAGACAAAACATAAAGAGGAGACCATAAATATTTCTATAAATAATGTATTTTTCTTGAAATTTGATAGGTGCAGTATACCAGAGAATTTGCCCAGAATCCCTTTGGGCACATTTAACCCAACTCATTATTTGAATGACAAAGAAAAGCTACTAATTGATTCCATTCAGAGAAATAAAAGGAAAGTGGAAAAACTGGTGAGCTATTATATAAATTATCATAGAGATGAATATGTTTTGTTCCAAGAATTTATCTGGGTAGAATTAAGTAATAACATTTTTTATTAAATCATATACAATCGGGTGAAATGCTCCCGGTTTGGTCCGGTTCGCCCGAACCAGTAGTAAAAAAGGCTACTGATTCGCTGAACCAGTAGTAAAAAATGTAAAAAAAAAAAAAAAGTTCCGACAATCAGCTGAGTGACGTGTGATCATTGGAACTTTTTTTTAAAAAACTTTTTTACCATTTTTATACTACCTGTTCTCCGGAACTGTAGTTAAAAATGCTTTAAAAAGTTAAAAAAAAAAAAAAAGTTCTGAAGATGGTTTGTTGCTCAGCTGATCGTCGGAACTTTTTTTTTTTAACTTTTTAGGCATTTTTTTACTACCGGTTTTCCGGAACTGGTAGTAAAAATGCTTTTAAAAAGTTTTTTTAAAAGGCTCCGACGATCACAGTTGTGCCGCACAATCGTTTGAGCCTTTTTTTTACTTTTAAAAGCATTTTTTTTGCAACCTATTTGGGATAGGTTGTAAAAAAATGCTTTTAAAAGTTAAAAAAAAGGTTCCAAAGATCGCGCGCCACAGCTGATCACACACACACACTCTTCTACTTACCCCATGCCTCCTTTTGGCATGTACTGCACGCGTGTGCATACACATCTCACATTTGGTGTGTAGTGGGACACTGCCCGCGCATTGCGCGTTTGGCATGTAGCCTGCATGCACAGCCAGAAAACTGGTAGTAAGCCGGTTCAGATTTCACCACTGTATAGAATCCTACATACACCTTGAATAATTAAAATTTTGGTATTTTGGAAGGTAGATGATTTTGAACCCAAATGCATCAAATTGCTAGAAAGGATTATTTGCAGGATCATCTAAGAATTATCTGACCCAGGATCCCCAACCCCTAGACTGTAGCCAACTACCAGGCCTTAGCAGGTTCATAACTGGGCTGTGGAAGTGGCGGATAAGCGCATGTATATGCGTAGGTCCACTTGCATGAGCAGTGGGTAAGCATGCATGCAGTCCCATTTGTGCTCGTCCACCACTCGCACGTAACCATTCCTTCTCCCGCCACCCAGTCCAGAAAGTTGGAAAGATTGGGGGTCGCTGATCTAACCCACTTCACAGCCTGATGTTTATGGTCCAAAAATAAATCAGAAAAACTAACTACACATTTTCTTCCTATCAGCCAGCATGACAAAATGTAAGTACATGTATGTATGTCTCTCAGAGGATAGAAATTTTCATGAAGTGAAAGGTATATGAAATAGATCAATTCTCATTAAAATGAAAGAAAGGAGGAGAGAGTTGGCAGAGAGTGTTGAGCTTCATACCTGTAATGTAGATGCTTTTGTAAATGTCTATTATTTTTGTAGCTTATATTAGAATGGGACAGAAGTTATGTGGACTGTTGTATAACTAAATTTAATAAATTTGGTAGAAATAAGTACAGTAGAAGGATTTGGTCATATAAATTCTGATTTTATTAAAAATACCTATAACTTTTTTTCAATACATTTCAAAATGTCTCAGAAAGAAGCAAATTATAGAATGAGGATTTGTGACAAATGTTTTCATCCTAGGAAGATGAAATTTTGAATAAAGGGAAGGAACGGTGCCAGACAATAATGATGCCCCTTCCTAGATTAGATGAAACAGTATACTTACAAGAAGTTTAACCCATTTTTAAGATATTCAAACAGATAAGATGACCATGCTAAATGCATAGAAAAGACAAAAAATTTCCTTGAACTGTAGTCCCCAATATTTGCCCCAAAGGGGCACATAGGAGATATTATGCTACACTCAGGACCTTGGTCCAACAGTCTTCGTGATTCCTACTCCAATTGATAAAGGGCTTTCTAAATATATATTAGGGCTAGATAACCTGCATTCCAAACTTCCAGATACTTTCTATAAAGCTTGAAAGGTACTTCAGTTGCAGTCACAAAATCACTAACATCCTGACTATAATATTATTCAAAATTCTGTTTCTATCTACATTGAGATGAAGAATGGAAAGTTTTTATCTAGGGATGTCATGGATGATTGTCTGATTGATATTCTGCCTTTGTATATAGTTAATGTTCAAGGTGGCAAATAATAGGACTTTTCCCCCAAGTTTCCCATTCATATTAAAGTTGTTATTTGAAAGAATAAAAAGTAAAAAGAGATATCTTGCTTTGGTGTCATTTTTACAGCAACTTCGTTTGATTCAACCACATAAATTTTCTAAGCATACTGATGACAGCAAAACTCCTGCTAAGGATGTGAGTAATTTGGACTGCAATTCTATATATAACTTTCTTGGGAACATATGTCATTACTATCAATGGAAATCAGAGAGTTTCAGGACTGAGCCTAATGCATAGTTTAATCTTGTATGGAAGTACATCCCTATGCTTTTTAAAAATTTAACAGAGCAGCTGTAGCTGAGAATGAAAATCTAAACCTTATTTAGATTAAAGTCAGAAGTAAAAAAAAGCAAAACAAAAATAAATATTAGTATATAACAAATACGTAATTATTCACATAGTCCGTTTGATAAATCTATTTCAGTATTTATTAGTCAACTAATATGGTTAATAAAAGTTGAAATAATTACAAAACATGCTATGGGAAAAAAATTAACTAGGGTGCAAAAATATTGTCAACTATCAACAACTAAGTTCAGATAACACTACGAATTCCACAGTTCAATCCTGAGCAACGAATATTCTATAGTCAACAAACTGATACCTTCATTTATATATGCAAATATACATGTGAAAGCGCAAGACTTACATATTTTCAGGTATGTTATAATGTTGAATTTTGTCTTCATAGGAAAACGTATTTCCTTAATTAAGTAAAACTGCATCAGCCACAAGTACATGAGAGGAATCATCTGTTAGAAAACGTATTTTTTCATGACTACAAAGTTAAATTGAGATTTAGAAACCAAGAATAGACCCCATTTTGCAATCCTAGTTTGTAAATCAAGCAAAAAAATAGAACATCCATATTTTAATTTCTACTTAGACAAGCAATTATCCAATAGGAAAGAAATGATTACCGTATTTTTCGGATTATAAAACGCACCGGTGAATAAGACACACCAAGATTTCGAAGAGGTAAGCAAGGGAAAAAAAGTTTTTGCCCTCTCAGGCCCCCAGGAGCACTCTGCAGGCCTCCCAAACCCTCTGCACGCGCAGAGAGTTTGGGAGGCCTGCAGAGTGCTCTTGGGGGCTAGGGAGGGCAAAAACATGATGCATGGGGGGTTTGGGAGGCCAAAAACAGGCCCGTTTTTCAGAAAAATGAGGGCATTTTTGCCTTCCCCAGCCCACAGGAACGCTCTGCAGGCCTCCCAAACCCTCTGCGTGCCCCAGTCCATTTTTTGCAAAAACAGGACGCTTTGGGACAGGGCTTTGGGAGGTGAAAAATGGCGGTATTCGGTGTATAAAACGCACCAACATTTCCACCCTCTTTTGGGGGGGGGGAGTGCGTCTTATACTCCGAAAAATACAGTATGTTCATCCGATGCAAATATAACCAGTAGAAGCATAGAATTAGAAGGCTATTCAGTACATTTGAGTTGCCCAACCTTTCCTGCAGGGAGGGAGGGACAGGGTCAGCGCAAGCAGTGGGCCCACACATGCATTGCATGTGTTTGTCTGCTGCTCACACAAGTGGGGGACGCATGCATGTGCGTGCTCATCTGCCACTTCCTCAGCCTGGTTCCGAATGGCTCAAGGCCCGGTTGTGGGCCAGGGGTTTGGAACTCCTGCATTAAATAACCCAGCAAGATATGTAATTTTAGGGTCATTTTTCTCGCAAAAAAATACCCAGGCTTAAAGGTGATATTGGATTGTTGTTGTTTTCTTCTTTTCAAAAAAAAAAAATGGAAGAATGTCTGCCAGAAGACTTTTTGTAAAGATTCACCTCAAGCTTACAAGCACCCGGCTATGAAAAATGCAAGTAAAGGATATATGCCACAATCAAATTATCGAAAGCGAGCATTGGCAAGGCAAACAGCTTGCTCACAAAGGAGGCGTTCTTTTTATCAGGATGAAAAAAAGTCCACAGTGGTGGACAGAAAGGATCACAGTATGCCAAAGGTATAATATATTTCAGAATGCTGAAAAGAAAAGCCTGACAATAGTTAACATGCGCTTAATCATTTGTATTGTAATACAATGCAAGTTTTTGTTTTCATTATAGGATTCTGTTAAATAGATTGCATGTGTAAAATCAAATGATTTGAGAAAGAAACCTCTTTTTTTTAAACTGCATAGGTACTCCTCAACTTATACCCAGTTACTTAGGGAATATTTAAAGTTACAACTTACCCCAAAAAGGAACTGATGACCCAGATACTTCAGGAACATGGCCACATTTATGACCATTTGCACCATCCCACAGTCATGTGACCACATTTTATGATGGTTTAGCTTACAAAAAAACATGCTCATAGGGAACCAGTGGTTTGTTTAATGTTCTCTTATGGATTGCAGCATTTGCCTTACAGTCTTGGCATTGCTTAACAACTGTCACAAAAATGAATACGGACATAAAACATACGACCATCCCATTTTATGACCGTAATGGGCAGGCTCCAATATGGTCCTATGTCAAAGACTACTTATATTCTTTTTTGTTCTATTTTTATTTCTATTTGATTCTTTTTTGCATGTTCTATTTTTTCATTTTATTCCTTTATTTGTTCAATTTGTACTAACTTTTATCTTTTTTTCATTGTAATTTTTAAATAAAATTACTATTTAAAAGGTTTCGGGGAAAATCAGACTTATCCACAGAGAAGAGCAGGACATAAGACACTTAATAGGAAGAGAGAATGTTAGAATGAAATCAAGTCTTGAGATGCTTGTCCAGATGTATAGATACATACCAGTATATTTCTTTATACACTTACTTGCAAGTTAGCTACAAATTACATATATAATCATGCATCTCATGCTTTTTCAGTGCAATTAATTCACACACTATATCCAGTCTGTGTTCAGATGGAACATAAACCTATCTGATCATATTTCAATAAACAGTATTTTAAAATAACTTTTTTTTAAACTTCAGACTTTTTTAAACTTCAAAGAGAGGTGGCTTATGGGAAGTGAGAGATGGAGGAGAGGTACAGGCATTTCAGATGTTGCACATCTTTCCTTCCTCTAGGGATACAAAGACTATGAGTTGAGTAGATCGTACTCTTGTTCTTCCTTTCTTCATTCCTCCCTCCTTTCTCTCTCCATATCTCCTTCCTTCTCCCCTTGCTTTCCATCTCACTCTCAGACTACCTTTGCTGGATCTTATAGTGGATAGCCTGTTCATACTCTGTATTGTACAGTTGCAAACATGCATCTACCTAGTTTTGGTAATAGGTAGCCTGCTAATCCTAATCTGTGGGAAGTATTAGGTTAGGCCAGGTTAGATAACATCATATCTCCAAATAGTTTTTGTCCTACCATATTGTATTGTTTACAGTTTTAAATATGGGTAAACAACTATAATGTCCATAAGAAGCCTAATGCAAGGGATGGTGTTGGTAAATTCAAAGCTCATTTATCTTATTACTTGCATAATAAATCACAAAATTACTAATTTTAAATCAAGCAGGACAGTTCATTAACAGAACAAGAAGGTGGAAAAAAATGATTACAGTTTAGGGCATCTATGCCCTAAAAGATTAATATAGGAAGCTTTCTTAAATGTTGAGGTTGTTTATTTAGTGTTTATAATTGATTTAAATTAGTGAATAATTTGAGCAAGGCTGTTCTTATTTTATGAGTCTAATACTTAGACTTTCAGTTTTCATTAATTATTGTTAAATAATTCTCATACAGATGCCACCTTCAGTACATTTTGAAAAGTTATATTATGGAGAGCCTGAATTGAAAATTGAATCGGAGAACAAGCCAGAAATCATTTATGTAAGAGCCTGTTTGTTTTGCTTTGCTTTTCCTTGGTCTGACCCTATACAATTACATTTTAAATATGTTCCAAAGGGGACATGGTGGCTCAGTGGCTAAGACACTGAGCTTGTCGATTGAAAGGTCTGCAATGCAGCGGTTCAAATCCCTAATAATGGGGTGAACTCCCGTTACTTGTCGCAGCTTCTGCCAACTTAGCAGTTCAAAAGCATGTAAAAAATGCAAGTAGAAAAATAGGGACCACCTTTGGTGGGAAGGTAACAGCGTTCAATGCACCTTTGGTGTTTAGTCATGCCGGCCACATGACCATAGAGACATCTTCGGACAGTGCTAGCTCTTCGGCTTAGAAAGGGAGATGAGCACCACCCCCTAGAGTCCGGAACGACTAACACATATGTGCGAGGGGAACCTTTACCTTTATCTTATGTTCCAAAGGAGGAATGGGAGCTGTTTTCAAAAGCCAAGAGGGCATTTGAGAATTTAGGGAATCTACCTGAGATAACTTTAGATTGATTCTGATAGCGAAATTAAGCTTGGCCGAACAAAAGTGGGAGGGAATCTTCTTGAGTGGAAGAGTATGTCATGTTCGTTTTCTGGGGGTTTCCCCCCCCCCTAAATCTTGATAAATGCTTTGAGTAGATCCAGGTTGAAACAAATCAATCACTATTTTTGTAACTTGCACCAAAATCTACATACTCTGCAATCACACTTATTGAATAATCAAATGAATAGATCTTCAGTCAGTCAAAGTTTAATATAAAACATAAGCTAAGGAATAATAGAAACATCACTATTATTACTAGTGTAAATTATGTCTGTAGAACCAAAAAACAATGTTAATTGTGGAGTTTTTTGTCTTCTCTTAGTTTGGTGTCAACTCTGAAGCAAACCTGGCTGAAGCCATCTTGTGCTGCCTCATAGTTGCCACAAACTCTGAGAGGGGGAGGGGAGGCGGGGAGGCTTGCTAATAGTCAAAACAAAAAGTTTTCTTGTGGGAACCAAGGTCATCCCAACAGGTGGCAGTTGAGGGAGGAGAAGAGTGACCAAGCACCGTGCCAGCTACTCCTATTGGACAATGTGACCTGTGACATCTGGAGAGGGAAATATTTGCTCTTTTAACTATGGAAAAACCACGGGAACTTTCATTAGCTGTGCCGATATGATGTTTCCAATAAGCATGTTCTTTGAGGAATCTACCTGCCTTGGAGTTCTGATTTTAGCTGCTGCATTACTCAGAACGCAAACACTTGGTTGTTTGCTTGTAGATATTTAATTACCCATCTAGGTAACATCAACAATATGAGTGAGTGTGGGATTTTCTCCCTTTTTATAGGCAGTAATTACCCTGCCAGTTTTAGTGAGATATGGTTTTTGCCATGGTAGTCCTTTGATTAGAATAGTATTTTCTGCTTCATTGGATAACAAAATACCTTCATGCAAACAACCAAATTTAGAGAGCACCAGTTCTAACTATAATTCCAAACTATGTTACATACGAGTTATATAAATTATTTTCTGTTAAGAGTGTTATTTATCTAAACCTAAGACATTAAACTAAAATTATAACTTAAAGCTAAATTGAAATAATGTAACACCTATTTATTTTATTTATTTATTTATTTATTTATTTATTTAATTTGTATACCGCCCTTCTCCCAGAAGGGACTCAGGGCGGTGAACAGCCAAAATTAAAAAACATACAAATGCAAAAGTTAAGATAATTAAAAGAATTAAATCATTGGCTACCCAAATTTAAAACCCCAAATCCATAAAATTTAAAATCCCAATTAAAAACCATTTAGGCTAGGCCGGCTTGATGAAATAAAAACGTCTTCAGGGCTTTACGGAAGGTCCGGAGGTCCGGGATCAATCGTATTCCAGGAGGCAGCTCATTCCACAGGGCGGGTGCCCCCACAGAGAAGGCTCGCCCCCTGGGGGCCGCCAGCCGACATTGCCTGACCGACGGCACCCCAAGGAGGCCCTCTCTGTGAGAGCGTATTGGCCGGTGGGAGGTTATCGGTAGCAGCAGGCGGTCTCGCAAATACAAATTTAGCTATATATATTTATTTAATGTTCAAAAGTTAGCGAGTTACATTATATTAAGAGATGAAATTAAGATTTGATCTTGGTTACATAGTAGAATTTGTCACCATTTAGAAAAGTTGAATTTTTATTAGAAAGCAGAGTATGTATGTAGAAAATATCAGAATGGCTTGGGCCATTTTATCAGATAAAGGGAAAAATAAAACAAATTTCAACATCTGTATAAAAACAGCAATATAGTAAAATGTAGGCAATAGATTCTGTGGTCCCTTATCACACATTCATAGTCAAGTAGCATATTTTTTTTCGTGTCTGCCTGAAGAGCATTGAACTGAGTGTAACTCAAACATTTAACCTGTGTTAAGGCCCATCTCAGCTTGGATAGTATAATGTGGTTTAAGTATCTCACCATGCTAAACATATGAGCCTCCTATGAAAGTACATTTTATCAAGAAGCTATCACTTTCACATGGCACTAAAATTGTCTGCTTATGTCTGGAGGGTCAATCCTATAGGGAAAAAAATTAACTTCAGCAATACTCGAAGATTAGGCAGATTTTTTAACTCAGTCTAATTGATCCTGTTTCACAGCAGAGGATAACATTAGAGAGCCAGCGTGGTACTTGGAGGATATTTCTTAAGAATTTGGATTGCACAATTTCTAATTTTAACAATTATCATAAGGGCCAAGCTATGCTCTATACAAGAACTGGGCATATACTTATGACAGCTCTAATAAAAAGGTATTTCTGTTATGTAAAAAGTTTCAGTTGCTGAGGCTGATCTTTGGGTCTACTGAGTTATATAATCCAGATGTGCATTTCTCCCAACTGAAGCCTGAAATTCAATTCCAAGGCATCTGAAAACTTTGACCTGTTGAATTTGTGCCCATTTTATTGTCACCTGTAATTTTTGGGGCACTTAACAAATAGCAGAGAATGTATTGTTACTTCATAATCTGTGCAGTGGGTGGTGAATGATCTTGCCTAGACCAGTCTAGGACAGAATGACTTCATCATCCACATAAAGCACCATTGGGATATGTCTGTGTGCTAGCTTTGGTGGGAAAAAAATCAGCAGTGTTCTGACAGACCACTGGAGTTATGTCAGACTTGAATAAAATGAAACCAGAATGCAGTGGAATTGTTGCAAAAAACTAAATAGCAGAGAGAACAGAAAAGCTAAGACTGGAATACACCACTCTGTGTTGTTGTGAAGAATTTGAGCAGTTAAAAGGTCATTCCCTGGTGATTTTAGGGGTGATTGAGATGATTAATCAGGTGTTATATTATTGTGTATTTTTCCTTTAGTTTGTGTTCTATATTTTGTCGTCCTCTTTTACTTTTAAATAGTTACTAATTGCTTTATTCTATACTAGTATTTGGCCCCAGTAAACTTTGACTCACTGACAAATAAATAAAGACTCAAACTGAGCTTGATTTTGGTAACTATGGACTACCCATATAGTTTTCTTGTATACAGAAATTGTATACTATTGTCTTCCTCTGGATATTGAATTTCCTCTTTCCTCACTAGAGAACTGACAACGTCCAACAAGGTCTCACTTCACTTCTGGGGAAGGAAACAAGAGATCAGTTGTAACTGGCTAGATGCTACCAATAGCTATAATGTTCTTGTTGTGATTGTTACTACTAAAAGATTTATTTAACATACTTGGAAGTAAACATTTCATTCACTTGTCTTTCTTTATTACATCCTTGCAACAAAGAAGTTTTCATTACAGATAATATAGCATAATGTTACTCAATTAGGTACATCCAACTTTCTAAAATTCTGCTTTGAAATGTTCTTTATTTTTATTACTTAATGACTCATCTGTCTTGATGTTTGGTTTATCAGAAATACTGTATATTCTGTCTTTAATGAAAAAAAAAGATAGTCCCTAAACAGTTACGGTGGTGTAATTAGCACATGCTCAAAAGAATTAACCATTGTCAGTTAATTATGTTACTGCACTTATGCTAACTAGTCTAACTGGGGGGAAAAAGAATATTAGCATTTGAAAGTACTATTTTAGAGTCACTTTGGAGATTGATGTTAAGTAGCGTTATGGAAAAGAAAACAACTGGCATCCAGAAAATAATGCAAAACAAACATTTTAGAATAACTTAAGAATCATTTGCATCATAAAATGCATAATAACCAGAGATTAAAATAAATGTTGTTTGCATTTCCAGAGTCCATTTGAAATGTAAATGTGATAGTAAATCTTTGTTGCTTTTCTACATATAGTACACCCAGGAAACCTTGAAGAAAGAATTACAATTCTTTATTGGCTAGCATCAAATTAGGAGGAGAATTCTTTTTTTTTTTAATACTTCTTAATAACTGATAGTCTACAAGGAAAAAAGTTTCTTGCATTGGGAGGGGGCACATTTTTGTAACATAGCAAATATCTCACCTCTTACCTGTTTGTATAAATGGAACAAACAGTTATTTCTAACCTGTAGTAGTTTCCAAGAGAGTAGATAAGGAAATATATAGTTATTCCTCCAATGCAAAAATTAAAGCGTGTGAATAATAAAAAGAAAAATCAAGGTGTGTGAATAATACATTTTAAGTTGAAGTTAATTATTTAGGACTTGAATGCTACTTCTTTATAACCAAAGTGTTTTACTGCAGATTATATCATCTGATAGTGAAACTGAAGATCTGCCAAAGGATGAATTGTTTGCAGGATGTGCTTTAATGAAAAAAGGTAATGTTGATGTTGAATTCTGAATTTCTTGCATGTGGATTAAAGCTAACAATCTTTACCTACAGATATTGTTTTACATTCCGAATGCACCAAAGGTGGGGGAGAGAGGTTATTGGATGAAAGATTGCAGAATTTGGGAATTTTCATTTTTTTTGTTTCATTGCTAATATCTGCTCTTTGAGTAAAAGGTAAAAAGAATTGAAGTACTAGGATACAGTATAATAAAAACACCAAAATGGCCATTAGAATGTGTTTACTGAATGAACTGCAGAGAACTCTTTATGCCTGTATTGTAGATGGCAACCAAAATTATAATAGGCATATTCTAATATGGTATGCATTGCATTTAAAATAGTATTGCTGTATGGTATTAAAGGGGGAAGGAAAAGTTTTTCCTTCTAATAACATTGACTGATCACGAATGAAAGACATCGCTAAAAGGTTTCTAGTAATCTCTGCCCTGCAGCAGTTAGACAACAACAGTTAGACACTATTCTCATAGTGTAATATTTAATGGAGGTGGGGGTTTTTGTTTTGCACATTCTGTAATTGTACTATGGAAAACCTCTTTCAAATTGTGAACTTTCACATGAGACTTTTCATGTTCTAAATAACTGGAAATCATAATGAGCTCGTGTTGGTCAAGCCATAACCAAGTTCAAATTCTTGTACCATTTATCGGCTAACATAACCAATTAACACATAACTATATTTTCCACTCATATTTTCAAAACTCCAGCTTCCAGAAAGTTCTCCAGTTTTCTTATCCTGCCCATGATTAATAACTTCTTTTATTATTGTCTTAAATGTTTAAACCACATGAAGAAAAACAGGAACAGTGTGAAGAAACAGCTGACAGTTTCCTTGGTCTACACAAGCATGGAAAATCTAAAAAAAGGCATATGCTATCCGCAAACTCAAAAAGGTGAGTGTACTGGAACACTTGGTAGACAAATTCTGGATTTCTGCTATTAGCACTATTTAATATTAGCATAGGATTCAGGAGAATCAATCAAGTCCAACTCAGCCACAGAACTGTGCTACATGGCTTTGACTGGTTACTCAGCCCAATCTACTGCACAGAGTAGAAAAAAATAGGACAATGTAATGCAACTGGAACATACTGGAATCCGGAAGAGAGCAGCTGGTCGGTGCGCATGCGCGTGGCAGCCAGCTGCTCTTTCAGGTTCGGTCACGCGCATGCTCACCAGACAGCTGGTCCAGCGCGCATGCGCACCAGCCAGCTGCTCTCTTCCAGGTTCCGTTGCGCACACGTACCAGCCAGCTGCTCTTCACAGAAAGACCACGTGGCCAGCGTGCGTGCACACGATGAAATCCGGAAGAGCAGCTGGCGATGGCGCGTGTGCCCACAGAGTGTGCTCTGTGTGCCACGTCTGGCATGCGTACCATAGGTTCGTCATCATGGTGCTGGAGGAGAGGCAGGATATGAAATTAATGAATAAGTGAAATACATACTCTATATAACAGTGCAATATTTTTAATGACAAGGAAGACCAAAGTGAAGGTATTATTTTAATTGCATATAATAAACATGGTTAAAATAATAATTTGCTTAACATTGGTAAATACATAAAGTATCACATACATGCATATTAGAAAAGCATCAATCTAATTAATATTCTGCTAGATCAGAGGTAAACATGCTTTGAAATATAAGGACTCAAGCAGAATTTTCCATTAAGTTATTTCTGATTGTACAAAAAGTTATGATTACTTATTAATTAGAATTGTGATTAATTTTAAAAAATAGATATAGGGATATAATAAATTAGTACATGATTCATATTAAATTATTTTTAAAACTGTTGATGCTTTGTCTTGATGCATGTTAATTCTCAGTGCAGTTAAAGCCAGATTTCAATTTTATTTGTTGAAAGCATCACTAACCATGCATGTTCATAAAGCAATTTCTTTGGAAGTCATGCATGAATGCTATGACTACTCACACGTCCTCAAGAGTTTGCAGTATACATATGAGCATGTCTTCCTCCAGAAAAAAAGAAAAAGGGATGATAGAATAGAAAGGGTAAGCACTCCCACTTTTTCAGGAGACCTATGGCAACAACTTATTGTTATTCAGTTACTTCTTTATTACCCAGTGGATATCATTTTGCTAGTTTCCAAATAATTTCTTTGGATTCTTAGGAGTTCTGTCATTAATATTTATATACCTTGCCTTCTATTGCTTCTTCTTTTGTATTATTGTATCTGTTTTGGCCAAGCATCTGTATCTTCTCCAGTGAATCTTATTTTTTATATATATATATATATATATATATCAACATATCTATAAATCTTTGAGGCTAGGAAGATAAAATTAGTTACTTTGGACTAGTCACTTTCTCTCAGCCCAACTCACGGAGTTGTATAGTTGTGGGGGGAAATAGGAGGAAGAAAAGGTAGGTATGTTTGCTGTCATGAGTTATTTATAAAAGGAATAAATATGAGATTAAAATATAAAATAAAATAATAAAAACTACTTCTCTACTTATTTGCTTTGGGCTGACATTAGATATAATCTTGAGTTTTGGTTTGTTGGCTTTATTGAGAACCAGTTTTGCATTATGTTCTTTTACCTTCAATAAAAGATTCCTTAAGTCTTCCTCATTTCCAGGCAACAAAGTAATTTCATCACCATAAATGAAGTCATTTTTTCTCCCAATAATTTTAATTCCAACTTTTATTTTATTTTATTTTATTTTATTTTGCCTCTCTCATGATCTTTTTGGTTGTTGTTGTTTTTTATTTAAAAAGTCATAGAGTGTATGTGCTGGAGGCCATACTCCCCCCCCCCCCAAAAAATGGGTCAGGTCAAGAAAGGAAAAAGTGGGTAAAACAGAGCAAAAACCCGGTTTTCCTTTTATTTTAAATTGAATTTTAATCACAGCATGTTATTGAATATAGTTAATATAATTATAGGCAATTTAAAAAAAAAATATCTTCCACTCTTACAATTCTTCAGCCAGTTTTGAAAAGCTCCGAAGATCTTAGGTTGAGACCCCCCCTGAACTTCTGTATTGCTTGCCTAAAAGTAATGAAAAATTTAATCCTTGATATAAGAGGCACAATAAAATATAGATATTTCTTTGGTTTTTTTAGTAATAGTTAGTACCCAAAAGATTGAAAACTTCTATTATGCCCCACTTGATTTTACAGAGAGCTAAATTTTTGTGATTAACCTGGCATCCTATAGACAAGAAATATTGTGCGTTGAAAATGTAAACAGATTGAGAAAATGATCTGGATTTGTAAATTGCAGTTGCAAAGCTCACTGAGAAATCTTTGAACAGGCAATACAATACCAATCCAAGTGACCTAACAATCTTCACAGAGTCCTCAGAAATGTAAATAATATTGCAGGGATTGTTCTAAAACCTAGTGTTCTACTGAGATAAATATAGCAACTTAAACCCAATCAGATTATTTGTTAATTTGGCTTAGTGTTCATTGAATAACAGGAGCTGTCTAGAGTATTAAATAGAGATGGTTTAAAAGTGCACAATCTGATCCTTTTAATTAGAATTTAATGTTGGGTTTTTAATGTTCTTATCTGCTTACATTGGGTGTAATGCAACATTTGTAATGTAATATTTGTAATGATGCCTATGGTGTTTCTATTCAGTAGGTCCACAGAAGCTACAAAAGAAGACAAAGATCAAGTCTTTATTGTGGAAGAGAAGTCAGTTGAAGTTTCACACCTAACTGAAAATTCCCAGAGCATCACTAAAGCCAAGATGATTCAGACATTAACATCTCGTATCAAGTGAGTGGTCATAAAGACTCTAAGTTTATAAAATATATAAAGGAATGTAAATTTACTTTAGTCAGTGTGTGTCATTGTAAACAGTGCAAAGTCATATTTTGGGCTGAATTTCACACCAGTTGAAATGGCCACTTAAAAGTATAGTTGCATTCTGTGGAATCAGTATTGAAGAATACTTTATATAAAATTCTCCAGTGACTTATTTCAGTAAGAGCGACAATTAAAATTGGGGTAGAGGGAGGTATTGTACCTTTGTATTTTACTGAATAGGCAATCAAAAGAATTATGTTTTCAGACAGACATGATAATTTGAACAGCGCATTTTTGAAAAAGCACAATTGTACTTTTTTGTTAAACTCTGTTGCATTACCCACTCTATTTTGGACCTATCATGCAAACAAGGAATCACTGCATTACGATACAGCCAGTCACAATGCAATATTAAGAGCTTATTCATTTTCCTCTAGAAGAAAAATCCTCCTGAGCTGCTAATTGCTCCCAGAGGTGCTAATTACCACATAGAACTCCTTTGGGATAGGAATAGAAACTCAGAAATTCATTTTTTCTTACACCTTTAAGTAAGAAAACAAATTGGTTAAATGGATTTTTAAAAGCAATTCATTTTTGCTTTAATATATTAATTCGTGAAAGTGTAGTTTTAAGGATTGGAATGTAAAAATGGCAATAATTTCAGTTGAATACAGGAATACCTAAACTCTGCAGTAAAATATATAGTGGATGTTTATCATCCAGGTTTCAATAAAGTACCCTGTGCTCTTTAAGGCTAACAGATTTGTATGATATCACCATTTGTGAATGTTTTTATTTTATCAGTTGCATAAAATAGACTCTCATAAGTTAGAATAAATGGTACTAAGTCTGGATTCTGAGTCCCTCAGAATACCATTCTTACCACTAGAAAGAAGAAAGCATGTATGTACATATTTTCCCTTTAAAAAGAGAAGGCTTTCTCCTTCATGGAGTTTCTAGAACCATGTAATGACTGGCATGTATGGCTGCTTATTTTGCTGCAATGCTTTGTTTTCTTTTCAGAGAAATATTGCTCTATTTTTTACCTGAATGTGATAAATCAAGAGAACATATTGCATCCATGTGCCCGGAAGATGTTTTATCTATGTTCAAGGTGAGTGAACATTTAAGTTACATTAAAATAAATGGGTCAACACGTATGTGCCAATATCATATAGTTACTGGTAGTCTCACTCAACGCCATTTATTCATTCAAAGTTATAATGGTGCTGAATGAAGGGATTTATGACCTTGAAGTTCTATTGCAGCACCACTGTAGACATCAGAACAAAATTCAGGCATTGATAAACACTTTTTGCCATCCACCTACTTGCTGCCACTGGCTGCCCTTGCCACTACTGTATCAGCCGGGGCCTTCATTCACACTGCCTTTTGCATTGGTGCAGCCAGTGATGAGCTGACCAGGGCCTCCACATGTTGGCTAGGGCCTCCGTTTGTGAAAGGAGGACCTGGCTGTATAAAAAAGAAGACCCTAGCTGTGCTGGCACAAAAGAAGACTCCCATCTAGAAGGACATGTTCACCGCATGAAAGGAGAAGGACCTGGCCAACATGCAGAGGCCTTGGCCGGTGTGCAAAAGGAGGCCAAAAGGACAGAGATGTGGAAATAGATAGATGAGGAGAGTTGAAGTAGAGACGGTCCCTTACATTTTTACAAGAATGGTTTGGATCTGGGTGTGCTCTTACCTGGTGACAACACGAGATTCACTCAATGGCAGCAACTGGGATTGCCGGAACTTTGGCTTAATGACCCACACATCATGGGGTTGCAGTGGAAACTGGGATTGCCAGTATTGTCTTCACTAAGTCATGTGGTCATATGATGCCACACTTTATAACAACATTGCTTACTGATAACAATTCTGGTCCCAATTGCCATTGTAACGCAAGGACTATCTGTATTAAGATATCCCACCAAGTTTGGAACCAACTCCTCAGTGGGTAAGCAGCGTGCTATCTTTTCATCCAAGTCCTTAATAGAAATATTGAAGAACATGTCACTAAGTATTGGACTCCATTTGATACTCTGTCTAATTTGATGAGGTACAAGTGAAGAACTCGCTAGCATGACCCATAATTTTTGTAACTTCAGTTAGGTTTTTATGTAGACTTTTTCTAGCCTTCATTTTTTTCTCATTGGAATTATTTGTAATTATGCTTTTAATTTCTCCTTTTGTAGTCATTTACATCTATCAAGTTTATTTTCTTATTAGTTGCTTTTGTTAGCTTTACACGGTCATTTCCATCAGTATTCCTGCTACTTTCACTTCTTCAGTTAAGTCTTCCATTCTAATGAGCATCATGTAAAAGATGGGGTCTTATTTGGACCTTCCTCAACTTTCCAAAGGAGAAAGTTGTCAGTGAGGGAAACACCAGTATACTTCAGTTTTGAATATAATTATACATAGTTCAGTGCTGAAATGAATAAGACTGTTCTGGACAGTGCAAACTGAAGGTTCAGAGACCTGATACAGACTGGATTGTAGCTATAACTTCCCATTTTTCTTTGAAGATTTATAATTTGTTATTGGAAGACACATCATATGTACCTTTACTTTCATTAGGCAGCTAAAAGTAGACATCAGCAACAGTTTTATTTGTCCTCGTTTTTATCTTGATGATGTTTACAACACTGCTTTGTTCATTCATTCTGAGTTTTTTTTAACATAGTAAGTACTTTTAGAATATATAATTCAAGACCTCCCTTCTATTGCTTCTACTTCTTTCAAGCAAATGTCCTTCAGCAGCTGTATTTCAGCAGCTGATACTGCACCAAGTTTCTATTATACCTAGAAAATCATATTCGCTTTCTTATCTTAAGAGTTCAAACCAAAATTTCCGCTACCTGTTCTCTGAACTACTCAAAATTTCCACTACCAGTTCTCCAGCACCTGTCAGAACCTGGTGAATAGCACCCCTGGTTCAAACTCATCTTGTTCTGTATTCCGAGAGTTAATGCATAGCCAACAAATGCCCCGAACCTTATGCTCCAATTTTCTTTCTTATTTTTAATTCAATGTTTAAATAGTCACTATTTCCAATTCCACTTTTTTCTCTAGCACTTAAGCCTTTATCTAAAGTTCTTAATTCAGGGTTTTCATCTCCAATCCATGCAGATTAAATTTAAAGCACTTCTAACCATAATCAAAGTCATTATGCTTTCCCCAAATACATTTTTGCCTTTTCTTCCTTTTTTTCTGAGGGAATTAAATCTATCTCCTGCTAGCACTTACCAGGAAACTCAGACATTTATCTCAGAAACAGACTCTTCGATTGGTATCATGTGTATAGCTAATCATTCATTTAAAGTCCTCCTAACCCTAACCAAATTGACTTATGCTTCAAACTTGCTTGTTTCAGTTTCAAATTCACTATCACAACTCCTTTATTGAGATATTCACTGTCCTGTTTTGCTTCTATTTTTCTTCTGAAAACTCGGAGCCTAAGAGAAACTGAAAATTGTTTCTGAATTCTAGTACTGCAGAAGATCATCTGTATCTCTTGCTTCCAATTGTTACCGTTATCCTCTGGGCTTCCTGATTTACTTGGCTCCTTTTTTTTAACTATGAGTTTATGTTCTAATACCTTCTTTGTCTGAACCAATCATTCTCTCATTAGGTTGGTTACGTACACTCAAAGCATAGCCCCTCACTACTCCATCCTTTCACATATTCTTCAAGGACTGCTACAAAGTTTGTAGATTCTGCAAATATATGCCAGATTCTTCGGCAAGAGAACAAACCTGCTACAGGTATTGCATGTCACAACTGCAGATTTCTTTATCTTCATTTTTGTTTCTAAAGGCACATCAGGAAGGCTTCTAGTTCTTTCCTTCTTAGGCCCTCCAATATAGACTCTTACCTTAGAAGGAAAATTAGTTACGGATTCCTCCTTAGACTGCCTTGCAAATTTCCACTGGCAAACATCTGGCAGCTTAGTGAGCATAAACAGTTGCATATAGAATTTATTTTCCATAATTTGTTTGTTTCTTCAAAATTGGGGATGAAATTGAGCAATTAACCATGCTAAACTGTTTTGTTTGTAAAAATGTATATGCCACAAATTCACTATACTTGGCATGGGTTACAATATAAAACTATTAAAAAGTATAAAGACCTAAAAAGTAATTAAAAAAGGATAATTAATGTTATTGTAATTTTCAAATTTTTTCTAAGTCTCTTTGTGTATTTACTACATTGAAATCAGTAAATAAAGGCAAATCTTAGTTGCATGGCCCTTGAAAATCCATGTTGCTTGCTTTTAACAGAAATAACAATCTCTCTTTTTGATACAATAACCAAATGTTGATTTTATATTTTAAAAAATGCAGACAAGGCCTCTTAACTAAATTCAGATTCTCATACTAACTTTTATTTTATATTACTGTAATAGCCAATGCAATATTATTCCCCAGCTGTATTTCTGCTTATCTTAAGGAACCCACCATACCTAGGATCTTCTTGACAATGCAAATTGCAGGGTTGGTGATATGATCTCAGATTGGAACTGTGATATGTGTAACCTTAGTATTTGAAGCCCACTTTTATTTCATTTGTTACTTTTATTATTTCCATTCCATGTTTGTCCAAGACATTTTTAGATTCTCCTTTTGTTTGTATATGTTTTGGTGACTTTGAGTTAGTTTTGATTCCTGGTAACTACATATTGCAATTTTCTACATGCAATTTTCTTGAAAATATTTTTAGAAGTGATTTACCATTATATCTTTCTAGGGATGCCAAAAGTTAATCATCTGGCTTTTGTGGATATTGCAAGATAAGAACGTGGGTTTCCCAGCTCCTAGTCTAATACCTTAATCACTAGACCAAACGTTCTATATTAGGGTCTAATATGAATTTGATTCTTTCTGAAATATTTCTACTTCTGAAAGGCAAAACTATACGATTAAAGTCACTGTAGTTTGATTCTTTGTATGATTAAGCTATGTGATAACAATTTCTTATACTTATTTTTCTTTTTGTTCATTTTTTGTAAAAATAGTTAAAAAGACATTGGGATCACAGTAAGACTGTCGTTTTATCCATTGATCAGGTAAAATATAAAATATGACAAATATTTTCTGAACTGATTTTCATCATTGCTAATAGATATATTCTTGAAAAAAATAATAGTGAAATGCAATTCATAAGATTGTGTTGCTTCATAGTATGCTTAATACAAAAAGAATGTTCCTCATTACATATGTAAGACATTCAGCTGCTAGCATTGTTACAAATTCTGTTGGAATCTGTAGTTCCCTCCAATGGCCAGTTGCATAGTTGAAATATGTTTATGGTTGCTTTGGGGGGCGATTGCAGTGTCTTGGATGTTATGCTATGGAGAACTCCTTCCATAGAGAAGTTGAGCAATTGTTTAAAAGGAGAAGGATAGTTTCCTTAATGCAGGAGTGTCAAATTTGCGTTGTCACGGCGTCATCACATGACATATCGGGACTTGTTTTCCCCTTTGCTAAACCGGGCGTGGCCAGCGTGTGACGCATCCGGCTCATGTAGATGGAAGAATGTTGCACAGTAGAATGTAAAATTTTGCTTAAAATTTGTAGTAAATTGCAAACATTTAAGCATATATTTCAGTATTTCTCACAGTATGAAAGACAACTTTCCAAAAAACTCCAGCGTCAAGAAGAACATTGCTTTCAAAAAGTCTATGCCATTGAAAAACAAATTCATCTACGCAAAGAACAAGTAAAAGCAACCCAAAAAAAGCTTGAACATCTTCGGAGAAATATAGCCATATTGCTATCAAGAATGAATCCCGTAAGTGCTATTATTCAATTGCAATATTATATGCAATTAAACTAAATTCTATTTCTGCAAAAGTTTTATTTCAGTATTATCATTCTATGTCACAGAAAATATGGTTTGTTTCAGTATTTCCAACAGGACTGCAATCCAAATGAGGCTTATAGGAACCCAAGGAAATATTTTTTTAAAGGTTTATGGACTATTTATGTTTTAGAATTATAAGCAATAGAAAATATTAAAGATGCCATTTATTTGGCAAATGCTGTTTCCACTGAAATATTAAGTAAGAAGGAATGTCTTTTCCCTGATCAGCAGCATACTTTAATTTAACCAATGAGATAAACATTAAAACTTAAATGATTAACCAAATTATTGGCAGATACTTCTGATGTCCATCTTTATGTATTAGTTGATACATAGAGTGATTTTTAAAACACGAGACAAGCTGATCCTTAAAATTCTTACTTACCGTGTTTCCCTGAAAATAAGACTCTGTCTTATATTTTTTTGAACCCTGAATAAGCGTTTGGCCTTATTGCCATGTGCTCAAAATCCCGATTAGGCTTAGTACCAGGGGATGTCTTATTTTGGGGGAAACGGGTTATTTTTATATAACAGTGTAACAAAATAAAATGGAATCCTAGATTATTCAATTCTTTTAATTTGAATATTACTGTTGATTCTATTAGAATTTTTAATACAAGTGATTCAGTCTTAGATAACTTTGCTCTAAAGCTGCACCATTATTTCACAGAAATAACAGACATTATACAATAAATTGTTTTAATATATTATTTTAAAAGATAAAATAATAAGATAAGGTATAAAATTATATAATTTCCAATATAAATTATATGCAACAGATCTATATATACAGGTCTTAATATATAGATCTCCAAATATACTCCAAAACACTAAAAAGCCACTCAGAAAAGGAAATAATGATTTGCAAAACAGGAGGGAGACTGAGGATGAAAATATTTTCCCTGGCTGTTATTTTTCTGATGGAGATTAGCCTTATTTAGGCTTTAAGGCTGAATAAAATATGCAGTCCGTTATAACAATGAATGTGCTGTCCCACTCTGTAAGTTCTGGCTACATAGTTGGAACAACGGATGAAGCTATCCCCTAAGCCCTATTAATAATGAAAATTCAGATCCAAATAAATGTTCATATCTAGCATTACAAGATTAGGATAGAACACAGAAGTATCAGAGGTTGGGGATAGGGCAAGCATACATTATGCATAACCAAATGTCTGAACAAAAATTATTTTTTCCAGTGACTTTTTGTTTTTAAATTTTCCATTCTAAGAAAATCATTGCATACCACAGTTGCCTGTGATACACTGTTTTAGTCAAAGGGGCTATTTAGCTTAATTCTCTCTGGAGCTGTTACTATAACAGCAATGCATGTTTGCCGTCTGTTGTTTCAGAATCTTGTTATAAATAATCTGGAACATGTCGATACCATCCTGGAAGAATGTTTAAACCAAGAAATCACTCATCCATTGGTTCCTATAACTACTAACTTCCGACATAAGTGAATCTACGTTGTTGGATAAAGAAAATGGGAGAGTATGTAACGCTTTATAATGTATAATAAGATGCAGATATATATGCAGATAACAAAAGGTTAATAATCTACAGTTATTCTGCAGAAGTCTTCCATGTTAATAGTGATAACAATTAAAGTTCTAAGTTGCCTTTTATGTTATATTTTGAAATTATTGGAACCAGTCCATGAAGACCGTTTACTTTAAAGTATATGGGTGAAGTTTAGCAAGAAAATATTTGCTAAATGATTTGTATTCTATAGTCTATACTCTTTTGAATATTCTGTTGGAATTATTGTAAAAATTATTAAAATAATTTTGTTTACTTTTATTGTTTTGAAATAACTTCATGAACATTATATAACTTTTTTGCATGAAAATTGAAGTTTGTTATGACAAGTTATTAAAATTTACTACACCTCATAAATAAAGCTAATTTAAAGCTTGATTGACTGAAGTCATTGACATGTACTTATTAAGGGAAATATTTAATCCAAGGCAATTATTGAAAAGCATATCTAGACTGTAATGAATATCATATCTTAAAATTATTTTAAAGCAAACAAATCTTTAGCATAAGACCTATTGAATGCTTTATCCAATCACTCTACTTTTATACCAGCTTTATCACAATCGTGTTTTGGAATTGCAAAGTATATATCATTTTTGGTGAAGAAAATGATATAGCATATATATTATACTGACACAAAGATGACAAAGTGCTCAGGGTTACCAGAAGAGAGATAGCTAATCAGAGCTTTAAATGGCACAAAGATTTCCAATCTCCTGCTATTGCTCTATTCACCCCTGCTGTTTCTTCCTTGAGTTGATAGAGCTCAATAGAGTTTAAGTATACCTTGCAGGATATTTCTCTTCCTTCCAATCATTTCAAGTATCCAATCTATAGTTTCTTCCTGCTTTCTTTCTAGAAGCCTGAAATAATCACCTGTAACTGACTTTTTTTATTCTGTTTCAATTGTTCCATCTATTATGGCATATTTTTCTCTTTGCCATAATCCTACTCTCTGAAATCACCAATTAGTTTCTCTATGTGGCTTTTAGACCTCAAATATCCAGGTTGGTTTATGAGCCTTAACTATTGGTCAGCTGCAATGAAAACATTTCTATGTAAATTTATGGCTCATAAATTAGACAATCCAATGATAATGAATCATTAGCTTATGAATTAATGGTTTAGCATGAGACTGAAGAATTTTTGTTGTGAAAATTCAGTTCAAAATTAATCAACTTAATGTGATAAAACTAATAACATAATGTTTAAAGATTAGAAATCCTGCTGTTTTTCTTATTATTTTTTGACAAATTAAAAAAATACCTTCAAGAAGTTAATGTTTTAATATCTTGAAAACAACAGGATACTGCTAAATACATTGATCTAAATTATAACTGCATCTGAAACTAGTACAAGTAACATCACAAAGCCTTATAATATCAAACTGTCAGGCTTGAAAAACTAGAGCCACGTGTTAAGTTTCAATTAAACTGATTTATTCCGCATGTGCTCTGTGCTTTGCAGAAGAAACTAGTCAACTAATGATTAGCGCTATTTTAGCATTAGATATGGGTTAACGGAATTCAAGAGGAATTGAACTTAGTCTGCTTGTGGCATCATAGAGTCGAGGTGGTGCAGTGGTTAGGGTGCAGTACTGCAGCTACTTCAGCTGACTGCTAGATCAGCAGATCAAATCTCACCTGCTCAAGGTTGACTCAGCCTTCCATCCTTCCAAGGTGGGTAAAATGAGGACCCAGATTGTTAGGGGGCAATATGCTATTTAGTATACTGTCTTTGGTGTAAACCGCCCAGAGTCCTCGGAGAGTGGGCGGCATAGAAATATGACTAATAAAATAAAATAAATAAAAATAAATCATATAGATTCTAGGCTGATTCCTATCTTGCCTAGGCCCCCCTGGCTTCTTCTACAACATGAACCAGGGGTGAAATCCAGCAGGTTCTGACAGGTTCTGGAGAACTGGTAGCAGAACTTTTGAGCAGTTCGGAGAACCGGTAGCGGAAATTTTGAGCAGTCCGGAGAACCGGCAGCGGAAATTTTGAGTAGTTCAAAAGTGGGAATGGAGATTTTGCAGGAACATTTCCCTGGAGTGGAGTGGGAATGGAGATTTTGCAGTATCCTTCCCCTGCCAAGCCCACAAGCCACACCCACCAAGCCACGCCCACAGAACTGGTAGTAAAAAAAATTGGATTTCACCACTGACATGAACCATTTAAAAATGATTTAAATAGGATATTAAGGAAGAAAGCACTGCCCAAAGACACAGTCATGGGCAGACATTCAATATGGAGGTTAATTAGTTAATAAAACAAAAGAGAGTTGAAGACAGAACGGGATGAACATGCTGTGGGACTAAAAGTTTGGCAGATTTGGATGAACAATTTAAGGAAACACAAAGTCTGCGATATGGCTATAAGTAATACTTCAGATAGGCAAGTCTCAAAAGACTATCTCCGAACTAAAAATTGACTTGACAGGTTTGTGGAATCACAGCTGGAAAAATAACTTAAAGGAGTCAGAGAAAACTGGGAAAACTAATCTGACTACATGTCTCATCTCTAAAATTAATGACCCAAGCAATGATTTGAACTTAACAAATAATGGTATTGAACCTGCTTATTGGTTTTACTCTTCTAGGAGCACACAGAAACCTAGAGACATTTTGCTTAATTTGTAAACAGAGATCTAAAAAGATAAAATTATAAGAAAATCACATGAGCTGGATGAGAATAAATGAGATAATTAATATTCTTTTTCTAAGATAATCAGTATAGCTACATTGCAGCAAAAAAAAAAGGAATTTAAACCACTGACAGAAATTTGATGTAAGTGGGGATTCCCTTTTAAGTTAATGATTTTTATGCCATAAGGACAAAATTTTATTCAGGTTTGACAGAGATTTATTTTTATTTATGTATTTATTAAATTTATATGCACAACTTGTGGCAGAGTTTTCTAACAAGGGAAAGAGCAAACAAATTAGGATTTATCCTTGGAACTGTGGAAAGCAGATTTAATCACAAGCTGCAGATTAGATAAGCATGCTGCACTGAACTGTGGAATAAAAGAAATTATATTAACTGTATCATCCTGTTTGAATTTGGAGGCCTAGAAGAAGGGGGGAAAGAAGGGAGTTAAATACGAGTGAATAAAATTTAAAAATAACATAGGTAAAAATATGGCTAAGGAGCTATTGTAATTAAATCTGAGAGTTTATTGGCTAGTGACAGGGAGAAAGAAGCCCACTAGGTCTTACAAATCCTTAGACTGAAGATGATCCATTAAGGATCCTCTGTAAAAAGTGGAATTGGTGGGGAGGGAGGTTGGGAATAGAGGCATGATATAGGACAGCGGATGGCATGGAGAGAGGAACAACGGTGGAAAGAGATTTTCTAAGGAAACAGGGAAACGGTATTAATCAGTAGTGGAATTCAAATCCCATCGTTACCGGTTCGCTTGTGGGGGCGCGCACACGCAATGCTTCTGTGCATGTACAGAGATGTCTGGATGGGTGGGTGGAACCTCCCACCGCTACTGTTACCTGTTCGCCCAATCCGGGGCAAACCAGTAGCAACCCACCACTGGTATTAATGCAGGGAAGGGGGGAATATTAATGCTATATACTGGCTTTCCATAGAATCAGGCTGTGATCAATAAGATTTTAATAACTTTTTTAGTTGCAGGATGAAAACTGCTAGGGAAAGTAGAGATATTCTAAAAATGTAGGTAATGTTAGAGCAATATAAAATTATTTCTTTAAATATCAGAAGTCTGGAGATTATCAAAATAAAAAGGATGGTTACTTGTGTTAAATCCAGTGGTGGGATTCAAATTTTTTAACAACCGGTTCTGTGGGTGTAACTTATTTTGGGGCGTGGCTTGGTGGTCATGTGACTGGGTGGGTGTGGCTATGTGGATAGGGACTACTCAGAGGGCTGAAAAAAGTCATTTCTGACCAGTCCTCGCACTTATGACCACCCTCACATTTATGCCGGTTGCAGCATTCTTAACAACATATCACTCATTTCACAACTACTTCTCTTCACCACAGTTACAAGATAGGGCGCAAAATGTAAAATGTGAGGACAGTTGTAAGTGTGAGGACCGGTCAAAAGTGCGAGGACCGGTCAAAATTAACTTTTTCAGCCCTCTGAGCAGTCCCTATGCACATTTTTTCAGCCCTATAGAGCAGTGGTCCCCAACCTTTTTATCGCCGCGGCCCGCTGAGCGCGCGCAAGGGTGGGGGCACAGCCCAGGAGCTTTTGCGCACGGCCCATTGCGCACGGCCCAGGAGCCTTTGCGCTGCAGCGTTCATGTCCCCCGGCCGCTGCGCGGCCCGGTGCCAGGTACTTCACGGCCCGGCACCGGTCCGCGGACCGGGGGTTGGGGACCACTGCTATAGAGGACTGAAGCCCTCTATAGAGGGCTATAGAAAAAGGTCCTCACACTTTTGATTGATCTTCGCACTTATGACCGGTCATCATTTATGCCCGTTGCAGCATTCTTAACAACCGTGTTACTCATTTCACAACTGCGGTGCTTCATGTGACTGGGTGGGTGTGGCCAGGTGTCATGTGACATTGCTTATTTGCCCTAATGACAGTTTGCTGCAACGGTTGTAAGTGTGAAAAAACAGTCATAAGTCACTTTTTTCAGTGCCATTGTAACTTGTAAGTCAAGGATTACCTGTACAAAAATACAAAAAGCTTCTTTGCTTGCAAAAAGCTGCCCTAAATACCAACCATTACATTAGAAATACTTGCAAAGTGGAGTTACAAATCAGGGAGGGTGCCAGAGCACCTTGAGGAATTAAAATGGTTAAAATGCAATGATAACTATCAGCAGCCAAGTGAAACCATTTAGCAGAGAGGTCATTTAAGCTCTCCAGAATGAAGCCAAGGAGCAAACAGAGTATCTGTTGCTTGTTAAACCAATTACCAGAACAAATAGACACAGGAACTAGTCAGATTTCCGAAGTTGCTTCTTTTCAGGAACAGAGATTAACTTTTTTCCTTCTAAACAAAGCTGAATAGGGAAAATTATCTCATCACTAAACACAGGATTAAACATCACCAAGCACAGAATTAAACTTCACCAAAAACCAGTTTTAGACCAAAAGTCAGAAAAGGTATGTAAACTCATGTTTGAATGTCAATCTTTCTAGCTAGCCAGCTGAATGTCACTCATGTTGGTTCCTTGTCATTAAAAGCTTCTGCTTCGTTATTCAATTATTTCTTCAAAGTGCTGATCATTGCATCCTAGCTGGAAGAACTCCAACAGGGGAGCATTTCCTCCCAACAGCGATGTAAAAAGCTTAAAACAACCCTTCCCCTTTAAGAAAGTAAAAAAAAAAAACAACAACTCCGAGAAGCTCTGGAACCGGAATCAGCAGTAAGTCTAGGCGTACTGCCAAGAATGTAATAAGGGTTAACTGAGTGGCAGTTTCTGTAAGCAGGGCAATAAAAATTAGGTTAGGAAACAACACCAGAAAGCTGTAATTCCTTACAGGATTAACCCTGTAAAGGGGGGGGGAACCTCAATATTGATGTATTAAAATCTCAGATTGGAATGCATAAAGGATTTCAAAATTTATTTCAATTCCTGAATTTTTACTTTTATACAATGCATTGCACCAAGAATACCAGAATCTGGAAATAGTCTAAGATAATTTTGATCCTTAAATTGAATAAAGACTCCCAGGATTTGGCATTTTATAAGCACTTATTGTTTCTCAATACAGATTATAAACTACACTAATTTTTTAGCTAACCAATTAAAAGTTATTACTAGTAAAATTAACCATATAAATCAATCTGGTTTTATTTCACACTGTAATAAATTTACTCAAAACAGAAAACTATTATACAAATTACTAAAATTAATAAGTCTTCATTAAGCATATGTTTTTAGATATATTAAAAGCCTTTGATTCTCTTAAAGTATAGTTTTTAAAACAAGTATTAATTAAATTTAAATTTAGCTCTAGGATCTATAAGATAATTGAAGATATTTATAGACTTAATTAACTGTTATGATTCAAATCCATTATAATTTCAAGCAGTACTAAGCAGTTTCTTATCACTTATTATTCAGCTTAACTATAGAAGCAGTGGCAATAGGTCTTAAATCCAATAATCAGATCAATGGTATAAAATAAGAGATAAAGCATATCTTTTAAATCTATTTATAGACTATATATACTAACTATCAAATGCTTCTTAGTCAGATAGTTATATTACAGAATTAGAGGAATTTGCAGAAGTGTCAGGAGTAGTTAATTTTCATGAATCACATTTAAAGTTTTCCCAATATATCCCAAAATATTCAAATGGAATATGGAGTTTTAGGAATCCCAATAGCATATACATCTTTCAAATACTTAGGTATTACTATAAACAAAATATTAAAATGTTTAGAAATAATTATGTACCAACTTAAAAGAAACTGCACAATGAAAAAGTGGAATCAGAGGCAGGAACCACAATTTTACTAAACTTAATGGACTTTATGGTTTATCTCAATAACAGTAGCAATTATTTATAATATATATATCAAACTTTCATATGTATAATACTTGTCTCTTTATTTACACTGCAATACATCTCCTTGGTACTTGGTATATGTTTCTTTTTTTTTCTTTTCTCTCTCTCTATATCTTTATATTATGTAAATGTAATTATCTGATTTTGTTTGGCTAAAACTAGTAACAAAAATATTTTTAAAAAAAATCTGTAGTCCTCAGAAAGATAAAAGGCAGGCAGGGAAAGCTCATTCAGACTTCTAAGATTCTGTTACTATAACCTTATAATAAATGTAGCACTGATGTATGGCTTTGGTTTCATAGTCTGGTCTACCTTGAATAATTAACAGGTGAGAAGTATTGCTGGAGTTAATGTGTTATTGTGTAGTATAATCCCTTGATTACATATGATTAAGACTTGAAAAAGGTTATATGATTTCAGATCATATCATCTGAAAACTACATTTTCATATATGATACACTAGAACTGGGTTGCAGTTCTTCAGATGGATTTTCTCCTACATACATTTAAGTTAAAATGCTATCCATACCTTTCGGGAGTTACATAAAGGTATGCTGATACAACTGTACATTGGCCCTATTGCTAATCCCTATCTTGCCACAGTAATGAAAGTAATAAATGATATGTATCAGATCTTTGAGGCAAGGTCAAAAAACAGACACAGCAGGGTTTCTAAGAATGATGTTTATTGTTGCAAGATTGTAAACTAACAATCTTACTCCATCTTCTACCAAAACAAAAAAATTAAAGTGAGGATATTTTGAGTTTCTTTCTGATGCTGTCCTCTTTCTCAGGATTCAGTAATATTTTCTGAAACTTCCCTTTAATAGCTTGCTTGCTCATTCCTTTCCCATTCTTTCACAGCGGCGCCCTTATATATTATGGTCCAAGTTAAAGGATATGAGAATTCCTTTGACTTTGCTTTCTCTCCCATGAAATATTACCTGCCAATGGGTGGAAATGGTGGTACGTGTCATGTTTGTTTGTTTAATTTAGAGGCCAGGTAACTCCATAAGACTCTGTATGACTCACAGCATTAAAAACAAAAACAAAATCAGTAGCACAATATAGCACAGACCATGCCTGTCCTCATTTAATAGCAAGCAGGTGCTCAGGAAAACATAGTTGAAACAAGGAAGATCTCTCCTAACGTGCTGTTTTCTCTCTGGGTCCATGACCTGTCAGTTGCATTAGTTCTGCACATGGTGCTAGCTCTCTTTGACATCCCAGCTGATGGGTAGAAGATGCCGACTCAGGATGGGCTTCAGTAGAAGGGATGGTCATTAATGTGACTCAACATTAGCCTAGACAAGTCCAACCAGGAGCTGCAAGGGGCAAAACTTTTAAACCACAGAAGGAATAGAACAGGAACATGTTTTTTTGCAGAGCCCAGATGTTTGCAGAAAAACAGTACTTCTAACCTGCTAGGGTTTAATTTTAACTTGTTTGGCCTCCTGCAGTCCTCACAATTTCCATACCAGATCAAAATCTGCATAGCATTTCAAGCCTATACTTGACTGAATTTATCCATCACATCTTGTGGGGTAGGGACACAATGGATGAATTAACTCAAAGTTAAAAGTCATCAGTGGCTTGGATGTAGAGATTGACAAAAATGAAATCACTTTTCAAAGAAATAGGATTTAAATATATATAAAAATAAGAACCAGAAGTCATCCTATACAAATTTCTCATGAAATCAGGAAAGTATATCTGTGATGTTTAGGAATGTGGCAGCTAATGTGTACAAGAGTTAAGATTGGGCTTAGAATTTGTAAATATTGTGTGTCATTTAGTCATATGGTTTAGAATTTGAACTTTTTATTCGCTTAAATTAGCTTGATTTTAATAAGCTTTTTGTATGAGCATTTATTGTTCTTCAATAGAAGATAGAGTGGCACAGCAGATACGTTTCATATAACAATACTTTTACTTATTTATCATCAGCCTTGGTGGCGCAGTGGACTAAGTGCTGTTAAAGTAGCACTTAGTTGCCAGCTGCCTACAATTACTGCAAGTTCAAATCTCACCAGGCTCAAGGTTGACTCAGCCTTCCATCCTTCGAGGTAAGTAAAATGAGGACCCAGATTGTGGGGGCAATAAGCTGACTTTGTATAAAAAAGAACACCGCTTGGGGGGGGGCCGAAAACCCTACTAAGCAGGTATATACAAAAGTATGAAGGCTATTGTTTAATGCATTGTAAGCCACCCTGAGTCTCCGGAGAAGGGTGGCATATAAATCGAACTAATAAATAAATAAATCAGGGCAGCAAATGAAACTTTGTCTCTAATCTACCCTAATCCTCAGACAATGGACTCTGTCCCTCTGACTTTTATTGAAGGGTTGTTGTTGTTGTTGCTAAATTAAAAGATGCAGAAAAATAAAAAAGAATACAGAAAGGGGAAATGATATAAAAATATACACGAGAGAAGAAAAAATAAATTAAGACGTTTAGATATTAATAGAGAAAAAAATCAAGATCACGTGAACTTGCCTCCAGAAGTTGTGAATTTCCAACACTAGAAGTTTTTAAGAAGAGATTGAACTGAAATGATAAAGAGATTTGTCTGAAATTATATACAATTTCCTGCCTGAGCAGGGGGTTGGACTAGAAGACTTCCAAGGTTCCTGCCAATTCCGTTATGTAATTCCAAAAATAAGAAGAAAAAAGAAATATTTAAAGAAATCATTTTCAGCAAATATTGTTAATATTTCTGCCCTATACATAACCACCTTCCTATATAGAACTCTTTTTAATTAGTAAATAAAAAAAACTAATGGGCAGATTTTATTTTCTGGACATACAAAATATAATATTGAATAATCATAATACCTATTTCTGCATGAATTATTTTTAAGAGCAACATCTTTCTTCTTCATTTAGGAGTGTTAATACTATAAAAGAACTACCTATATTAACTGGTAGAGCTGAAGGTAATCCCACTTCTATTTTTAGCTAAACTAAATCTATAGTGATCTTAAGATGCTTACAGTTGTTACATGTGTTGGAATTCCTTCTACTCCAGTTAAACTTGAGCCACTGCAGTGAAGGAAAGTATTCGCGGAAACAAATTTAAGAAATAAGGATAGATTAATTGCCTCCAAATGGGTGCCAATGAATCATTGGAGGAAATTGTTGCTATGGAAAATTACCAGTGGTATGCAAAATTCATGAAAGAATGTCCATCTGGACAACTCACCATGTATGAATGCAAGAAGATCCTTGGCCTTGAAAATGCAACTACGCAGGCAAATAATTATGTTGAGAAAGTATTCAATATTTTTGATACAAATAAGGTAAGAGTTATTTCTATAGTGCATAGTTTTAGGTAATAGTGTGCTGTTTTTCATTTATTGTATACAGAACATTTTAGCATCTTAAATCTAACATTTGTTTTAAAATTCCTTCCAAATTGATTCTGCAAGATATAAAAGCAGCTAGAAGAATATATGCCTGTTTAACAGGATTTTAATTGATCAGTGATTAAAATATAGCTCTGATAGTTATCTTGATATCTCATACTTTTGTGTTCTTTATACATTGGTATCTGTGAGATGCACAGAATTAAGATGTATATAGCAGAGATTGCCGTCTTTAATATGGTTGCCAGCTCTGTGCCTTCAATTTTCGAGGCCGTATGGAACTATTAACTATTAAAATCAATATGCATCAATATTATTAATCTTCGTCACATTCTTTGAAATTTTGGAACCACCATACATATCATATCATACTTCTATAGTAGGTCCTTTCGTCATTTTTGTAAAAGTGCATGCCCAGTTCTTGTTATATTTCATTACTAGAATTTTATTTATCTTTTTCTAGTTCTATCAAATTACTACTGTACAATATTCTTTCTGAAATAAAATAAGAGTTGTGTATAGTATTCCAAATGTACTTGCATCATATTTACTCACTTCTTTGTATTTGTTTTCTCTCCTAATGATACACACTTTAAAAAACAAATTTGTTTATTTACAATTTATTTGTGAGTTTCTTTCATCATACTTAATGTATTCATAAAACTTTTTTTTAATTGTCTTCCTGAAAAAAAAAGAACTAGTCATATTAAGTTTGTAGGAATTAGTGATTGGCTTGTATTTTGGGGGATTACTGACTTAATGTCAGCCTTTTGGCTAAAGTCAAGTGTAATCTTAACTCAAGCAAATTACAAAACAGTAATGTCAACCATTATTATTTGAAGATACAATCAGTCAAATAACTTTTAAGAATATAAGCTAGACTTGTGAGCAGTGTTTTCACAGGCTCCAGCAACTATACTGCTTTCATTGAAACTTATAGTATACTTGATTTACTTACTAAATTATTTTCCTTTGGAAATGTGACAATAGAATATTAGAAGCTTAAAGAAAAGCAGAACTTCAGCAGAAAAATTAATATCACTAATCCTTTATTAAGTCAAAATAATGTGACTCATATGAACCACTGTTAGCTCTCACTTTTTCTTAGCACTGAAACAGTTGCAGAAATCCTGGAAAGGCACAGAGTTATAAAACTGGAAAAAACAGTTTATACTGTTTACTCTTCAACTGTATGGTTGGGTCTTCTTTTCTTGATATGAGGGTTCTACTCATCTAACCATATACCCAAGCTATATCATCTCCTGGGATGTGATAAAAAAACAGAAGCAAAATCAGTATATATTTAGGACTACTTCTTATGCAGCACGTGATTTCAAATTTAGTTCTTTTATTTATTTTATTCATTTATTTTTATTAATTTTTTATGCAACCCATCTCCCTATAAGGCAACTCTGCCTTTAAATCACTGTCATTTTTAAAAATATTTCCAAGGATTGTCTACCCACTCACTGGCTGGCACCAATGAGAAGTACTGTATTTTTCAGAGTATAAGACACACTTCCCCCCCCCCCCAAAAAAAGAGGGTGGAAATGTTGGTGCGTCTTATACACTGAATAAGCCATTTTTTGCCTCCCAAAGCCCCGCCCCGCTCATCCCATTTTTGCAAAAAAATGGGCCTATTTTTCACAAAAACAGTGCGCAGAGGGTTTGGGAGGCCTGCAGAGTGCTTCTGGGGGCTGGGGAGGGCAAAAACGCCCCCATTTTTGTGAAAAACGTGCCCGTTTTTCACCCACTTTTTGCAAAAACAAGGGTGTTTTTGCCCTCCCCCAGCTCCCAGGAGCACTTTGCAGGCCTCCCAAACCCTCTGCATGCCCTGTTTTTTGCAAAAACGGGCCTGTTTTTGCAAAAAACAGGATGCACAGAGGGTTTGGGAGGCCTGCAGAGTGCTCCTGGGGGCAAGGGAAGGCAAAACCCTTTTTTTCTTACTTACCTCTTTGAAATCTTGGTGCGTCTTATACACCCGTGTATCTTACAGTCCAAAAAATACGGTAGGTTGTCTAACCCCTGAACTCACATGACTTTATTGCTTATTCATATGCATATTCACAAAAGATGCATACACACACACACAACACACGTTTTTATTGTAACTGTTCTGCCCCAGCTATGGACCCCAAAGAACACAGCACACACAGACTCTATACAAAGCTTATTTACTCAAAATAACTTAGTCTTTATCGTTCAAAGGCTGTTAATGAACTGTCTTAACAGCCTACCAGAATTCTAAGATAAGGTAATCACAGTCTTACTAGAGTTGGCAGAAAGCCCAGAAGCAGTTTTGCAGACACGGAGGAGAGTGAACTAAAGTTATTCTCTACAGCTTGTTGCAAGCGGCGTTCCTTCTTAAATAGGCTAAGGGAGTGGCCAATTAGCCCCAAGTCTTACTGTTGAGGAGAACTCCTCCTGAGGAGCCACTCCTGCTTTTTGGCAGCTCTGCGCACCCGTGGATTGAGAAGAAGCTCTTCCTCTTCAGCCTCTTCACTTAAAGGAGCTTCTGGAGGTTCTGAAGGCCCTGGCTGAATCCCTGCCTCTGGCACCACATCTTCTCCAGCCTCCTCACTGTCCGACTCGAGCGCCAGCTGCACAGGCTGCTGGCGCAGCACCACACCAGTCTCCTCGTTGTCGGAATCGGCTACAATCTGCACAGGCCGCTGACAGGCCACAACAGTAACATTCTTTAAGCTACAATCTCTTGCAAGTAGTGGGCTCCAATGCCAGAACTGGCGGTTCTAGAATTCTAGGTGTAATTCTGACAAACTGACAGTACAAGTCTGGGAGTTACAGTCCTAGCTCCTAGTGTTCCATTACCACCCAGGTAACGCTATTATAAGACAGTAGCCTCAGTTTTATTTGGCATACACTAGCCTATTACATTGCACTGTTACATTTGAGCAGGAGACTACCATGTTTCCCCGAAAATAAGACCCTGTCTTATATTTTTTGAACCCTGAAATAAGCGCTTGGCCTTATTGCCATGCACTCAAAAGCCCGATTGGGCTTATTATCAGGGGATGTCTTATTTTGGGGAAAACAGGGTAACATTGAATTTAATGTGAAAATTTCTCAGACTCTTCCTGCAGCTTACATAGACAATGAACTACACTTGATATTTGTCTTAAGATAAATTGATTAATTTTCATTACCATTCACTTGGCTAGGACATTAGTGATTTCTAATTTCGGCTTTTTTGGATGAAGTATGTTTTAAGCTGATTATAATTTCTAATACATAAAGTGAAAAAGGTTCATGCATACAATTATTAACAATAAAAATTAATTGTGTTATTGAAGACCTGATTGCACTTGCTACTTATGAGTGGATTGCTTTTAGAAATGGACTAGAAATAGAAAATGAAATATGGGCCTCATATTGCAGAGTATAAATTGAAAAAAGATAGTTGTATAAATGTGTTAGAAACACTGTATATATTTACTAGATTAATATTTGCATTAGATGAGTATATATAGACTATAACTGTTTATTGTTAGGTTATACCATACTATATTTTTCTTTGTTGTAGTTTTTTAAACTATTTAATTAAAGCACTATTTATGTGTTCTTTGACATTGACATAATGATATTTGTCATTATTTTTGTTTTCATCTTTATTTCTATTTTTGATATTAATTAAAAAGCAATAATAAATAAATATTTAATAGTCCACATCTATAGGTACTATGTTTCCCCGAAATGACAAGTTCTTATTTTTTTTTACCCCCTCGAAATAAGGGCTTGGCTTCATTATCGGGGGGGGTCTTATTATTTTGGTAGTGCAGGAGGCGGTGAGAGTGGGACTGGATGTCCCGTCGCTGCTGTCGCCTCCCCTCCCTGTTCTTTGCGCCGGCCGAACAGCCCAACCCATCCCACCCCACCTTAATGGCAACAGCTGCTTCCCTTCTCCGCTGTCTCTTTATCGAGAGGAGTGGCAGATGGGGCGGGGGAGAAGCAAGACACCTGGAGTGATACATGGCTCCCCTTGCCGTCTCTTCTCCCCTCCTTGCCAGGCATGACAGGGCTCCTGTCCCTCGCTTAGCTACCCGCCCCCTTTAGGGATGTAATTTGGGGGTGGCAGGTAGGGGGGTGAGAAGCAGAATGTGTGCCTTACCTTTCCTGCTCTGTCACGTTCCTCACCGTTGTGTCCAGGGAAACATCCTGTAAAAGAAAACCTACTCACGAGTTCAATCAAACTTCTTGAACTTGCGAAGTTTTCTTTTACAGCATGTTTCCCTGGACACAATGGCGAGGAAAGCGATGGAACTTGAAAGGTAAGACCTGTGTCCCGCTTCTCACCTGCCCTACCTGCCACTCCCAAATTGCATCCCTAAAGGAGGCGGGTGGCCAAGCAAGGGGCAGGAGACCTGCCATGCCCTGCAAGGGGTGGGAAGAAGAGACGGCAAGGGGAGCCACATCTCTCTCCATGCGCCTTGCTTCTTCCCTACCCCACCTGCCACCCCTCTCGATAAAGAGATGGCGGAGAAGTGAAGCAGCCAGGCTGCTGTTGCCATTGGGGTGGGGTGGGGTGGGATGTGTTGGGTCGCTAGACCGGCGTGAAGAACAGGGAGGGGAGGGCATCTCCTCCCTTTTCCCCCTCCGGCCTTGCCTCAACTCATTTTGGTTGTGCAGCAAGCAACCAGGGAAAATGGTGGGACTGGCTGCACATGCGGGTAAGTAGTTGGTGGGGGGCTTATTTTGTGGGTGTGGCTTATATTATTGCATGTGCTGAAAAACCCGATTGGGCTTATTATCCGGATATGTTTTTGGGGAAACACAGTACTACCCACTAAACAACCATAATTGGGGTTGGCAATAATGTCGCTAAATGATATGATTGTTATGCAAGACAATACTTGTCCATGACTTGCAATTTCACTACTAGCTTCTCTATTTACTCTACTTGTTGAAATCCGACTGTC